ACGTCCGCCATGGCGAGTTTATCGACGCGCCGTCGCGCAAAAAACGCCGCGCAAATTTATTCTTTGCACATCGCACGCACTTTCCGCACGCCTTGGCGCAATCGGCCTTAAAACGCCATAAAACGATTAAAATATTGTGGCCGGCAGACCCGAGCTGGTCTCGTTGCAGTGGATTAAAATTCAAATTTAAATTTCTAATCGACTGTCGATACAATCATTGCACCGCACGCGTTTTGCAATCGTTTAGATATTAACGAAGAAGAAAAAATTAAAATCAGGAATTTATAAAGTTTATAAGTAAAATAGTATATTAAGTGTCAAGTGCGCTAAGTGGCACTTTAATCACGTTTAGCATAGTGATGCATATGCTTGTTTTTCTATTTCTACTTTATTTCAACGTTTAGTTTTTGTATTTTAAGTCCACCCCGTGACTAAAGTACTTTAGTCACAGCTTTAGCTGTCTGTGAGTAAATTACCACTTTTCTTGTCTCAAAACCGTGTAAAAAGTTGCGTTTTAAAGATGAAAATAAAAAATTAATTTTTGTGCACAAAAATTAGTAAAATAACAAATTTTAACAAAAAAACCTAAAATTTTGTATTCACACGTGCGTGAAACTTTTACAAGCGACATAAAAGATAAAACTAAAGTGGTTAATGACATACAACGAGGAACTCCACGAAAAATGACACTTGACAACATTTTCAGTTAAAAATAAATTATGCGTCCGGCGTTAAAAGTAAACAAACACACAAGAATCAAGATAATGTGTGGTTATGTTGACAGTTCCGTAAAGCACCTTTCCACTCATTATTTTTTGCAGCGCTTTGTTTTTGCGGTCGCTATCGCGCAGCTCTTCGTGGTTTATTCGTGCAGGAAACGCAATAAAAAACCGCCGCATCGTCGCATGTGTGGCATTCGACGCTATCAGTGTCACAGCGCCATTTTGCGACCGCAAACACACAAAGCGCACGCCGACACAAAACATACCTACGAGTACACTACACATTACTACACACGCTACACTTAAAGCAGTTAAATTTAATTGTACTTCCGAGTATTCAAATGCCCGGAAAACGCAGTGCAGAGCAGTCGAGATAAACTTCATCGCGGAATACCGAGAAGTGCATAGCATTGCAAAAGGCAGTCAGGTTTTATCTGTGCCGTGACATATTGTGACTTGTGACGTGATCTAGCAACGACTTTTCCGTTACACTTTTCCAAGCATCGTTTGCGCACGTTTTCGGTGCGTGTCTGAGTTGTAGCGCGTTTTTTTCTGCGGCGTTTTCCATAAAGGCGCGTGCATTCCATAAAATATACAGGGTGTTAATAAAAATTTATATTAAATATCAAGTGGCTAAATGGGGACTTTACTCACGAGATTGATTAAGTTTCAGCAATCGAGTGTTTAATAATGTTTAGCCACGTGTTGCTTACGCTATTTTTTTATTTTCACTTTAGTTCCACGTTGAGTTTTTGTATTTCAACTTTTTATTTTAAATCATCAAAATTTGCTCGCACACCACTACAAAATGTAAGGTTATAAATACCATACTACGCGCTGGGCCACGTGACACGTCGGGCCATATCGCGCAGCTCAGACACGAGCAACAACAGCGCCTCCTTTGACATGTTTGACTAACGCATGGCATTTCATACGGTCTTGCGCTGCTCCGTAGGCTACTGCGCAGGCGCAAGCTCCGTCCCGTATATAATACCCGTAGATAATGAATATTACTCACGGCTTGGCCCTCCGTTAATAAAATACCACTTTTAGTGTCTAAAAACCGTGGAAAAACTGGTGAAAGTAGAAAAAATACATTTTAACATTAAAATATTATAATTAACACTCTGTATAATCATAATAGTTAGAATAATTGTAATGATAATTAAGATGAGATGCCTTGCGTATTTTCTTGCAATTATTATAACTTATTACTAACTGTTTCAAATGTTTACACCATAACTCGAAGAGATAATATAATAATTGTTTAATTTTCGTGTCAGTACACAACACACATGTTGTTAACAATGTATCATTACTTCTTTGACTTGAATGGAAATTGTCTCAACCTTGGATGGGATGATTTGCAATACGTGTTGCCTATATTGCGATATCTTAAGTTTTCTATGACAATCACGTAAAATTGCTGCAATTGCAACTTATAAATTACAAAACTAGTTCGTGTCTATGTTATACAGAGTGTTTCCTACGTAAAAATTCAATTTTTAAATTTTTATGTATAAAAACACCCTGTATGTTTACATAATATTTTTGCAAGTCAATAAAAATGATTCTCTCACTGACCTGATGATGAAAAGTGATGAAATCTTAATAAACACGTTCGAAACACGCTAATTATCATAATTATGACTCATGCAAAGCGTAAAAATGACGTAACGGAAGCTTGAATGATAGGTTATGTTTTTCTTCTTCCGAGAATTCAATTTATTTAAATATTTCTAGTATAGTATCGTGTTACACGTGTACCAGTTTTACTGCGCATGCGTGGTGCACTTAAAGTGCATCTACACTATCACACAATTTTGTCCCGTCGTAAACTGGCGAATTTATTTATATTAGCGGTGCGCAAGCGTGACTTGTCTCCTTAGCTCAGCCACTTTGGTCCACCAGTGACCCGAACACGATATTTTACGCACGCACACGCCACTTGTGTGCCGTTGTGCACCATTTTCCACACAGTGTTTAGATTTATTCGCAAAAACGAATATAACTATCGTAAGTATCATGTTTCTGGTTGGTTTATGTGTTCGGCGCAACAGGAGGATTTGATACTAGACGTGGTTTAGTTTATTTTACAATAATGTTGTTTTATTACTGCCAATAACAATAATTTATAACCGTTTCGATCAATCGGGCGCGTATGGAAAACTGGCTGGATTTTAATTAAGAGCCGAGATAATATTTTACGATTTATGACGTAATGTGATGTGGCGATGTGGAGATGTGGAGTAATAAGTCAATAAAGTGGATGCTAAGTGCTATAAATATGTTTGCGTGAATGTAAATTAAACGTGAGGCGTTATGAGGTGTAACATTTATACGAGTATTGATATTGTCAATTATTTTTGGAAAAAATCGATTTTATAGTTGTTTAAGGATCATTTGAATTTTTTTAAATTTTATTTTGAAAAATAAGAGTATATTATATATCAAGTGCGCTAAGCGGCACTTTATCCACGTTTAGGGATGTGATTCTTACGCTATTTTTTCTACTTCCACTTTATTTTCGCGTTTAATTGTTGTATTTGAACGTTTTTAGCTCCAGCCCGTGACTAAAGTACTTTAGTCACGACTTTAGCCATCCGTGACTAAATAATCACTTTTCGTGTCTCTAGACCATGAGTGAAATTTTAAAGCTGGAAGTAAAAAAATTAGAGACCGACCGAAATTTCGGTTTCGGTTTCGGTTTCGGCCAGTTTCGGCCAAGAATTCTAGTTTCGGCTTCAGTTTCGGTTTCGGCCAAAAATTGGCCGAAACTTTCGGCCGCACCGAAACTCACTTTTCGTGAATTGTCGTGCGTCGCTCGGCTAACTTCGCGGCTAATAGCGGTGGTTACTTGCCATCTCAGTTCGCACAAAAAAACTCAAATTAATATTATATTAAGTATCGAGTGACTAAACGGGGACTTTACTCACGAGATGGATTTTGTATCTAAAAAACGTGGAAAAACTGGCGCTGTGTAGGTAGAAGTAGAAAAATATGTTTATGTAAATTAGTTTCGGTTTCGGTTTCGGTTTCGGCCGAAACTGGTTGCAGGGCCGAAATTTCGGTTTCGGTTTCGGCTAAAATCCAGTTTCGGTCGGACTCTAAAAAAAATATAATTTGATGTATCAATACACCAAAACATTATCAACACGAGCGAAGCCGCTAGTTTTGCACAATAAAACTTGTTCTTTGTTCCGTATTGTATCGCAACTTGCAACAAATTGAATACAATCACATGTTTGTGATCGTGAAGATAATTGCCCTCTACTTGTACTCCGCGATACTGAGATCTATTATAAAATATTACGAATAAATTGCACGAAAACACACTAATTATGCGGCATATATCCACTTATCTAGAATATCTAATTACAATTGTAATTTTCTCCATATGAATACAGAAAATATCTCCAAATAATGACGTCATTGTGTAAATAAAAATACCGTTATACTCAAAAAGATCAGATCCGCTTATATTAAAGATTTAAGATTTAAGATATGTGATATAGATATGAATATGAATACATTGTCATAACAAAAAGTTCAAGTTCCTCACGACTTACAATTCCTTTTTCATCATTGGATATTGTCTGAATTATAAAGCCCCTTACACACCATCATTCATTGAGAATGGTATGCAACCAAATGTACATATTACAATGCGTCTGTTGCACGCGTGTGTTTTACATGTGCACATTGCAAGTTTTGACTCTTTGACTAACGAATAAACGCGAGTAAATATTGACGTAACCCGAATTCGCGCTTACTCGCTTTCGTAACCGATTTTATTGGGCGCACAGAGAAAACCACTCCGCAAACTCGACATTTGACAATACCACAAGCACCGGTAAACATTGGATAAAAGTTATTGATGTTTACGACATATTTATAACTCATTATTTTACTTACGATTATTCCCAGTGCCGTCAATCGCAAATCTTTACTGCTCATGCGCATAGACATTAATGCATTAATTACAAAATGTTAATTAACGTTTGCAGATCGATAGAGGCATTATATAGCGGACTATATTTGGTACTCGTATGTTTGTTGTTTTCTGATTAACTGTTAGCTATTTGACTTAAGTCAGTTTAGAAAAACATTTCATGTCTTCACTAGCGATATCCAAGGTGTACAATTTGCGTAAGAAAGGTTTAGCGAAGCGATCGTAAAACCACTCGTAAAATACATCTCGAAATTAACTTATCAGGCGGGTTACACGTTCAAAGTTTAAAATCAATTTAAGGTTAATAAATTTTTCATGAAACTTACCGCTATTGTAGTTTACATAACCTCCAAGTGTGAAAACTGCACGTTTTATTTTTATAAGTGTTTTAATTGATTGTTTATTATTGTTTTGTTTTGTGTGTGTGGTTTATTTACGCGACGATTGCACCTTGGTAGCGCGTAATAAGCGCACCTGAGCGTACGCGACGTACTGAACCAAAGTGCCCGGAGTGGCGGAATGGCAGAGTGGATTCCTCCGGCTGGCGCACGGGTGGCGGCTGAATGCGGACTGAAGTCCGGCGGAAACCTTGAGCAATGAACAACATCGACATTGCCATGCGGAGCAAAACGCAATACACATGCGCGGCTTGCTATAGTCTATCCATATAACAATAATATCAGTACTGCATTTAAACATTCAAACCACAAATGCAACTAAATGAAGCATTTTTAGTATAATACAACTTATTTGTATTTAAATTGACATAAATAGCATATTAAATATCTAGTGTGCTAAGTGGCACTTTATCTACGTTTAGTGATGTAATGTTTAAGTTTTTTTTTTCATTTTTCATTTTTTCTTATTTTTAACCATTAAAAACATTATTTAACTAAATTCTATTTACTATTAAACCTTTTTCTACTTACTTTTTTTATTAAATTTGTCCTTCAACAACTACAGCGCCATCTAGAAGAAGATTTAGTAAGTTGTCTTTCACCTGAATTTTCACCAATTTTTTTTTTTCAATAAAATTTTAACGATTTTTAATGACTCAATTAATATATTCTACCAATGAAAATTAAGTTCAATTTGTGTTAAACAACTATTATCACGCAAATTGATCAAATTACAGCTCGGCAGTATTCTTGCTGCGTGTAATCGACTCGCATTATGATTCATTACGACCGGGCACGATTGATGAGATGATAGCAGTCGCCACATCGCGACGAATGATGAAATTGTTAATTCGCATGGGCGTAAAGCACATAAAGCAAAGTACTTAAACCCGCTTATCTGTCAAACGTTTACAAGTAAAAGCATATCAGTATTGTAGGCTCCTCCACCATTTAATTTTAACTTTAAAATTATTTTCTTTTTCCTTTTTACAAAGTTTTGAGACATAAAAAGTGGCAAGTTAATCACGGATGGCCAAAGCAGTGACTAAAGTATTTTAGTCACGGGGTGAACCTTCGCTAAACGTGATTAAAGTGCCGTTTAGCACACTTAATTCTTTATATACTAATATTATATTATTTCTTCTAAATTAAAGTAAACTTAAGCCTTAAATTAAGTAAACTTGAGAAAACACCGCTACAACCACTAAAATAAGACCTGCATCAATATAATTTTATGTTCAAAATGATTTATTTTACATTAGCTCTAAAAAACCTAAGTAAACTTAACTTAAGCTAACTTAAGTAAGTTAATATGTTACTTGTTTAATGTTTAATGTTTATATAAATATTAAGATGCGCTCGGGCTGTGCGGCTGAAGAAAATTGATGCTGTGATGCGAGTTGAAGTTGATGTTGCTGAGAGCACTGCATCATTAAGTTTTACGAGTTAAAAGAAATTGAAATGAAAAGCGATAAAAATGTGCGCGCATCGCATTTCCCTCTTTTAATTTTATTTATTTATTTATTGGATATATTGCTGGCTAATGGGGCAAATGAATTTTATAAATATATCGAACCAATATTAATTAATTCACAATTAATAGTTTTTAGTTAAATAAATGGTAATTTACGGTTTCCTGAATTTTCATGTTTTAAATTTTAATTCTGCGCTTCATTAAGTGGAAGTAAAATGATGATAAGTTAACAATATAATTGGATTAACATTATTAACATACACATTATTTTATGTTGTAAATAAATTAAAATTTACGTAATCTATATATATATATATAAAAATGAATTGCTGTTCGTTAGTCTCGCTAAAACTCGAGAACGGCTGAACGGATTTATCTTATCTTGGTCTTGAATTATTCGTGGAGGTCTAGGGAAGGTTTAATGTGAGAAAAATTCGAATAATTGCCGGGAAAATCCTCAAAACAGCTCTTTTCTATAGAATAAAATTTGACATTGAGATTCAATCATAGTTATAGTTAAATAGTTGAATTCGAGATGGCGCGCTGAAGTGCATTATTGACAAAACTTTATATAATTAATTTCTTTAAATTAAAATTGCTAATCTTATTGATAGAATTGACTCTTACTACGAGTATGTCTAGAACAAGAGAGTAAAAACGAATTACATTTTTATTAAACACTGCCGGAACGAAGTCGCGGGCAACAGCTAGTAAATAAATAAATAATTAGATTTTTCTACTTCCACCTCAAAAGCGTCAATTTTTCCACGGTTTTTAGACACAAAAAGTGTTACTTTATATACGGACGGCCAAGACGTGAGTAATATCCATTATCTACGAGTATTATATACGGGGCGGAGCTTGCGCCTATCAAATTATGCTTTTTCTATTAAAATTTGAATAAAATCAGAACTAAATTTCAATAAAACTACTTTTTCATTAAAAACGTAGACAAATACTAAAAATGATTCCTGCGCATGCTCGCATTCAATTGAATTCTTGCTAGCAACAAGCGTAAAATTGAAATTAAATCAATGACTTCTATTACGATATTTTAAGTACTCCGAAGCGCTCGAAATGCTGAAATGTTGAATATGTATTCCTCGACGAAACCAGCGTCATGATTTATTCATTGCAGTCGTAAATTTAATTTCCGTCCAGCGCTGCAGCAGCACGAATGGGCGCGTCTTGAGTTGTCATCTGTCATCCGGCTCGCGACTGTCATCAAATCAGCGAGCGCCTCTTGCCAAACGATAAAATGCTCACCAATGCAGCCTATGCGCAATTATAAATCTATGGCAATGGCGGCGAGCCGGCGGAATCATTCGATACGTTTTATGCGCGGCGCGTTCGAGAATTATTGAATAATTAGCGAGATTTACACGCCGGCGATGCGGCATTTCTCGCATTGATTTCCCGATTTAGAATACGTGGCGACACGGCATAATTTATTTCTGCGATTTATCAGAGTGAAAAATTCCGAATTGGGAGATAAAAGCGCTCGTAAACTCGCGAGTTCCGTTTATAACTGAAAACAGTGATTAAATTCGATATTATTACCAACTCGTAAATCAATTGCAAAACGCATTTACATAAAATGATACATAATATCATCTGATTTATTATCATAAACATTTCTATTACTTTTGTCTTAATTAAGTTATATTTTTCATGTTTTTTATGTTTTTTAAGGAACAGAAATGAAATTCACCTAATGACATTCCAATTAAATCTGTTTGTTGCTGGCAATAGAATTAAGAACAAATGTGGCTGATTATCGCACGATACTGGCAGCTAATGACACGCAAGTTTCTTACTCGTGGATTTCCGCTGCGCGCATCGTACGCGCTTAATTCACTTAATGCTCGTTTGCTACTTAAAGTAATCCGCATGATAAGATCAAGCCATGCCTCTGGGCGCATAAAAAGTGTCTGGTTAACAAGCCACGAACAACTAACAACCCGCAGTAAATGTACACAGATTTTAATTTTATTTAAACGAAATTAACTGCGACAAGTGCGTGACAAAAGCAACTAATTCTCGTGCTAATTAAAATTATTATAAAAATGACGTTAATTTAGGATGTATGTAATGTGTATTATGTGTTGCCTATTAAAACGCAACATGATGTTATGCAAGCACTGCCAATATACAAAAATGGGTATTTTGGGTTGCATACGTAAAATATTACAATTTTTACTGAAGCAAGCGTAATAACCAACACTAAACATTGTAGGTTATGTCATAATCAAAGTGATTATAAAATATTATATAAAACATATTTCAAGGTAAAATATAGAATACTAGCTTTAACCCGCGGCTTCGCTCGCGAATATCTAAAATACTGAAGTTGCTTCCGTACGCGTCTGTAGTCACAGAAGAAGTAACAATGAAGTAGAATGGCGGGAAGTTTAAAATGGCTGAAAGTATAGTCTATGGAAGTATAGTGTACAGTCTCCATAGTGTAGTCAATTGGATTTGATGTTGACGTAGCTGTCGGTAATACAGTGTGATAATACAGTGTGATGGTACTATAGTACTTAGGTTTGAGCTTCATTGCTGGAATGCTAGATGGCGTTAAAGTAGTCAAATAGCCAGATGCAGAGGTATTATTGGCTAAACAATTTCTTTATTTTATTTAAAAAATAATTTTTTTATTAAATAAAAAGTAGCCTATAACCATTCGGGGACCACTAAGAATATGTGTACAAATTTTCATGATGATCGGTTAAGTAGTTTTTGTGTGAAAGTGTAACAAACATCAAGACTTTCGCATTTATAATATTAGTAGGGATGTCATAATCAAAATGATTATAAAATATAAAATAAAACAAATTTCTAGGTAAAATATAGAATATTTTGTTTTGTGTACTCTGTGTTGCCTATTAACACTCACTATTGTAGCTTGGATCATTATTCCTGTCGACATGGAGGTAGGCAACGATAAATCACAATCAATACGCCCGTTGATTGCATTCAAGACACCGGAATGAAATCATTGCTGCGATCACAACCGACTAACCAATACATAACAAGATGCGAGATTGAACAGAGCCTTAGGAACCCATGCAACCGAACAAATAATGATTTACAAGCGTACGATTTGCGCACGTACGATCGCAACATGTAAACCACACGTGAATTGAATACCAACAAGTGTTATAATACTTATAATGGATTATCAACATTGTATCAACGTATTTCACAAGGTACAACTTCAACAAAGACTCAACAAGTTGTTTATTGAATCATTTTTTACTCATTTCGAGAATTCATAGTGAGATTCAAGTTAGGCCACCCACCATACATCACTCACAACACTAACCCCTTTACTTGTTAATATTTCACTCGTACACAATTACCAATTACACCTTTCATCAATATATTACTGGTATTCTTTGTGCCAAAGGCTCGAATGATAGCCACGCTTGCAATGGGAAATAATTGATGATTGTGACATGAAATAGATGAGTGTAAATTTGCAAAACGCGCTCGGCGAAAGCGCAAAGGGAAGCAGCGTAAAAATGCCAACTGCAATAGATTGCAAAGTGTGCTGGAGGCACTAAGGAGGCGTCACAAAGGCGTAGAATCCGTGCAGAGGATGCTCATGCACGACGAGAGGTGATTAGGTGAGCGCATACGGAATGCAACTGTAAATTGGCCACTCACGAGCCGCCAACGTGCATAAACAATGCACTTTTATCTATTATCTATACTATCAGTTACTTCTTTATCGTTAACTTTAATTCACAATAGATAAATATGCAAACAATGCATACAATACACATTAGACATTCAAACCAAGTTTATTCGCGCATGCGCAAACAACATAACCTCGAATAATGTCATTCTCACATTGAAAATTTATAAATCGACTAGTTAACCGGGCAAACGTTGTTTTGCCATATAAATTATTTCTAGTTTCTAGATAAATTTTAGTGTAGACAAAAAGTAACTTACTTATTATAAAAAATAGGGGTTGGTGATAAAAAGCCAAAAATTTAGGGTTGTATGTATTTTTTAATGCCACATTAAAAAAAATAAAAACAAAAAATTTCGACCAAAATTAAAAAAAAATTAAGGGTGAACAACCCTTATCACTTAGAGATTTGAAGTTACCGATTCTCAGACCTACTGAATACGCATATAAAAATTTTCTTTGAGCGGGATGAAAAATGATTAAATTACTAAAATGGCTATAAAGAAATAGGGGTTGGTGATAAAAAACTAAAAATTTAGGGTTGTATGTATTTTTTAATTCCACATTATAAAAAAAAAATAAAAACAAAAGAATTTGTCCAAAAATTTAAAAAAAAGTTAAGGGTGAACAACCCTTATCACTTAGGGGTATGAAAAATAGATGTTAGCCGATTCTCCGACCTACTGAATACGCATATAAAATTTGGTAAAAATCGGTAAAGCCGTTTCGGAGGAGTATGGAAACAAACACTGTGACACGCAAATTTTATATATATAGATAAAGTTTCACAGCGAAATGAATTTTGCTCGTTTTTCCTCATTAGCAGCGCGGACTTAAATTTATGATCCTTCTTAATGCGAGAAACGCTACCTAATACTCAATAATATACGAAAAAGTCTAAAAAACATTAATGACGTTAAGTTATGCTAATAATGCAAACGATTCGAATCGTGCTTCGACATTGTGTGAAACGCAAGATTTCAATTTGCGAAACTTTGAGATTCTGACACGCAGGATACGCTGCGTTTGATTAATTTATTGCAGCCTGATACAGTAATTAATTCGGACCGCGTGTGCACTTCGTGGCGTGGTAGTAAACGTAATCAGATGCAAATAAATAAATTACGGCCGTAGATAACTAAGTAAGTAAATAAACAGCCAAGAGTATGAGCTACTTACAGTCAAGATGTCAAGAAGGTGTACCACGCACTCACGGCGCATGCAAATAAGTAATTCGTAATTCTAATTGAAATATGTTAATCTGTGTAAAAATGCGCGGCAATTAAACGTGCAAAACGGTGAGATTGAATCAGTTAACCTCCATGAAAAATGTGTAATGTTGGTTGCATATAGTAAAACAAAAAATTGAAATCTTTTCCATCATTATTTAATTATACAACTAATTAAAGATTTAACTCGTGAGGCTTAAGTCATTAGAAGCACATCATAAGTATTTTCTTCTTAATTCAATTACTTGCGTTAAGATAACTAATCTAAATAAGCCAATAAGCGTGTAAGTTATATGTGTAAGCAGTGCAGCTCTGCGCAACTGATTAAATTTATATAAAATCCATGAAAAAAAAGAAACAAGTTTCGAAGTGAAGAAGTACAGACGCGCCGCGTGTTGCTATCAAGTGTAATAAGTGCAATAAGCGTAATGAGCGTAATACGAACGCGTAATATTTAATTAGATTATGAAAATTGTGAAAATCTTTGCGCACATGCAATCATGGGAACTCGGCAAAGTGCAATTTACGCTAATATCATGATTAAATTAATAAATTGTTATGCGTTATGTGTTATGACAACTTTAACTGCATCTACAAGTTTTATAGGTTATAGAAACACATATTATCTATTCATAAATAAACATTTGAATAAAAAATGAATTATTTCATTAAATTTATGTTCTAGTTTAGTTTAAAACTAGGACAAACGTTTAAAAAATTAGTTTTGATGCATTAATAGTACTAATATGTGTGGTATATATGTATAACTGGTTGCCTATAGCTGTTGGTTTTAGTATAACCAAAATATTGGAAATTTTTTAACTAAAAAACTAATAAAAGCAGATAAAACTAATAATTTACACAGAAATCGTTGGAAATAAACAGTTCTGACTAAATAATTGATCTAAATAAACAGTTACTCATAAATTTACACATTGTTTACGCTAACAGGCTTAAAAATTGAATAAAGTGATAAAGTATGACGATTAACTGAATGTTATAAGATAATCTCGTTCTTATTCTAGAAACTGTCCGTGTGGAGTTGTTGTTAAGTTGTTGATTCGCGTTAAAAACGTCACGTGGTCGAAATTTATTTAACGCGGACCTTGGCGAAGCCGGTCAGTCGCCGAACGAATATTGTTCGAGTCCACATCGACATTATCCTCTCGACTGTAATCGGGTAAAGTCAGACAGACATTCAAGCAGAAAACAATTACAACAAAATGCAAAGTGTCGTGGTTTTCTTGGGGGTCCTCGCGACCCTTGGGGTTTATCACGTGCAGGCTGCAACCACACATACAGACAGTAAAGTTGTCTGCTACTACGATCACAATTCATTCTTCCGTGAAGGTATGTAATGTTTTTATTACAATATTTAATCAATAACCGGTTGATTCGAAAGTTCATACACGAAAATATAAACCGCTCGGGGTTTTACACGTTATGTAACACGATAAACGCGAATCGCTGAGAAATTTTTGCGCGCGTCGTAAAAAAAATCTTCGCACGTTTCGAATTTATGCTAATGTGTGAAGATGAAGACGACTTGACAGCAAGTCCTATGATGGAATTGCTAATGAGTGTTAAATTTAGCATGAAATGGATGGTCCGTTGATTGGCCGCCATTTTGTTTGATGTTTGAGTGCGCTTATCGCACGCATTTCATGCGGAAAGTATAAAAAACCACTAAAATTCAAGTGCAAATCGAATTCAATTTCGCGTAAATGTGGAATATTTGATGTTTCGAATGGAATTTTACACTTGAAATTAAATTCACACGTGTCACAATAACATTACTCACACTATTGTCATTGTTAAACACAATTCAAACGCGAGAATATAAAATATTTATTCGTGGCATGATTTCAAGATGTCAGAATGGACAAGGTGACACGAAAAGCATTGAGATTATAAACGCGAGACGAATGACAATGAATCATTAGATTAACATCTAATAATTTCTGTGAATACCGGTGAAGTGAGCGTGAAACCACAATTGTTATTGAAATTAACAAGCAAAAAACAAATAATTCCATCAACAATGTTGTAATTCATCGAAATAAATTCTTAGAATTTTTAATGTGTTTGTACTTCCCAACAAAACTTTATTTTCTTGTGTTATCAATATGAAGATAACCTTAGTTCAACTTTCGTTTCGATATTTCTGACTCAGATTAACATAAATTAATTCCGTCTGCGTGTTTATAACTCAATCAAATTGAGTATTGAAATGTTAATTATTGTAATTAGGCCAAGGCAAGTTTGATGTACCCTTCTTGGAGCCGGCTCTACAATTCTGCACGCACTTGATCTACCGTTCCGCTGGCATTAACGCCGCGACCAATAAACTGGTCCCGCTTAATGAGCACTTCGATGTCACCAAGGACCAATACCGCAAGGTCACCGAGCTCAAGCGTCGTTATCCCACCCTTAAAGTCTACCTGGCTGTAGGCGCTGGTGATGATGATCAAAACCCTGAGAAATATCTGACTCTGGTACGTAATTTATAGGTTATAAGTTGAATTTGAGGTTAAGTATGGTTAAATTGATTTGTTTCAGTTGGAAGGTGTGGAGAATCGTATTGCTTTCGTGAACTCCGCGCATACTTTAGTGAAAACTTACGGATTTGATGGTATTGACCTAGCTTGGCAGTTCCCAACCAATAAACCGAAGAAGGTCCGCGGAAAAGTATCCTCTTTCTTCCACAGTTTGAAGAAGAAGATTGTTGGTGAGTCGATTGTGGATGATAAAGCTGACGAACATAAGGAGCAATTCACAGCGCTGGTGCGTGAAGTGAAGAATGTCTTCAAACATGACGGACTTGCTGTTGTACTCAGCGTCTTACCAAACGTCAATTCGAGTATTTACTTTGACGTGCACAGCATTATCCCGCAAGTCGACTTTGTGAATCTGATGGCTTTCGATTTCCGTACACCGAAACGTAATCCCAAAGAAGTGGACTACCCAGCACCTTTGTATAATCTGATTGATCGTAAAGAAGACGAAAATGGTAACGCCTGGGTGCAATACTGGTTGACGCATGGTGCGCCTAATAACAAACTGGTTTTCGGCATACCTACCTTCGGTAGAGTGTGGAAGATGACTGAAGATTCCGCCATCAGTGGTGTGCCACCATTCGAAACTGAAGGCGCCGCTGAAGTTGGACCATACACCCAACACGAGGGTCTGTACAGCTATCCGGAGGTGTGTGCCAAGTTGGCTAATCCGAATAACCTCAAAGCTCACCAAGGCAAACATCTTAGGAAGATTGGTGATCCATCCAAACGTTACGGTAAGTTGAATTTTGCTTACTTCGATTGATAATTGAAGGTTATACAAATCGTTGCAGAGAATTGGCACACGATCGATGTGTCCAATCGATTTGGTAGGTCGTCCATTTTGTCGATAAGTTAGTGATTGATGTGTTGAATGTGTGTATTGTAGGTACCTACGCTTTCCGTCTCCCGGATGAAAGTGGCGAGAACGGCGCTTGGGTGGGATATGAAGATCCCGATACTGCTGGTAACAAAGCCGGGTATGTGCGTGACAAAGGATTGGGTGGTATTGCCATTTTTGATCTAAGTCTGGATGACTTCCGTGGGTTGTGCAATGGGGACAAGTATCCCATTTTGAGGGCTGCCAAATTGAGGCTTTAAATCATCAACAGCACTTTTTTAATATGTGTGTTATTGTTTAGTAAAAAAAATCAGGAATAAAGAAATATTTTAATAATTATGTCGTATTCACCTTAATGTTTAAAATTTTGTTTAAATTCTTATTTAGTTAGAAATTATAATTATAATCTATTGATTAACTTGAAAAATATTATGTATAACATAGGCACACCCCTGAATAATATGCAACCAAACAATCTGAAATGTATATCTGGTTGCATATCATACATAGATTACTTACTTAGACCTCACAAAGATGAAAACGTGACAAATAAAGTCACGCTAAGTCTGCGGTGCAACAAATGTGTTGCATATAAGTATATTAATATTAAACTAATTATTTCCAAAATGCTTCCTTGGCGTGCGTGAACCAGATAATTCTAGTGCATCCACAGCCTCCCAATCGTCTTGCTCTTGATTAATATTTTGATGTTGATCCGACCACCCTGTTAGTTGAGAAGCTGTGCCTGATACAACGTTGGACACTTTCGCAAGTGCCCTAAACATGGATTTACCCATTGCTACCACTTTCCACGGCTTCTTCGATCTTAAATGCTCGTACCTCATTTCGTCTTCAAGTTTCTTGGCACTGCAATTGGTAATGAACTGATGCAAATTATTGAAAGTCTCACCAACATGTTTCAATTGCTTCAAGCGGTCCCCAATCTTAAGTATGTCCGCTGATGTGATATGTGTGATGTTCTGTTCTTTTGCATTCTTTCCGGCCTCTTCCACAATGCGCTTTTGTTCAATGTGTGCTCTTTTCAGCGACTCAAGAAGTGCTACCCGCTCCGCATTTTGTTCACTGAAAGCAATAATCAAATAAATAACAAGTCAAAATGTATGTATAAATACAAAAAGCTGGTTATAAACTCAATTATTCAAGTAAAAACGTCGGTAAATATTTGCTGAAGTTTAAATATGAATTCCGCGTCTCTCAGTTGTATTCACTTGTGTTATGTTTAAATGATTTTGTTGTAACGCAACGTGCACACCAACAAATTAGCTGAAAAATCGTGCTTAAGTTATAGAAATTTGCATTGCAATTTGTAGAGATGTTGGGTTGCATAATTACAACAATATTTCAAATGTTACCATCGATGTCATGTCTTTAAAAAAATATTCCAGCTCATAATTGCTTGATATTAAAATATTTTTCGTCGTTACTCAGAGAAAAGCAGTTTGTCGTTAAAACAAAGCTAGACTGAATATGTAAAGATACGTACGTGGCAATTAAACAGTTCAAGTATCTCTCGTAGGCATCATTGATCGGCAATATGGAGTTATGGCTAAGAAAATATGCGAAGGTTGCCAATGCCTTCGCAATTTCTTCTTGCTCAGATTTGTATGTTTCGATGCGCTCTTTTAGGGCTTTAACACACGCTTTCTGCTCATTGAGAATGTTCTCATTTGAGTTAAGCTGAGACTTCACCGTTTGGTTTAATATTCGCTCCTCCACCGCTTTTGTCTCGTAGGAAACGTGCATGTGAGTTGACCAATTGCAGCCGCACTTGATACACTCGCCACCACTCATGTTGTCACAAAATTTCAAGGCTCCTTCACCAAAAAGCCATTTCCACTTAGGAACTGATTCACACGGATCGTGACACCTTTCTTTGTAGTGATATTTAACAACTCCTGCCACCTAAATAAAGAATTAAATTACACATAAGTAAAGTAAGATGATAATGGAACCCACCGTATAAGTTTCGCGACATTTTGCCGCTGCGCATACCAATACAGGATGATCCAGTTCGGTTTGTTTCAGGTCAATTACCGGCACGTACAGCAGTTTCTTCAACTCCTCTCCAGTCAAATTTTCTTGTTGAATAGTATCCATATGCTTTTGGAGAGCACTGACATTGTCCTGTACGAGTTGACTAATGTCGGCAAGTGGTTTGGATAACTCAGAGATAAGTGTGCGAGCACTGTTCACTGATACAGTATCCCGGATGTTATGTGGTGGAAGAACGGGATGCTCTTCAGTACCTAAGATGTAATCGGTGAAACTCCTGGTGGATTTACTAGAAACCTCCCAACTTTTTTGAAAACTTTGAAGAGTTCCCATGTTTTCACCTTGATGTTGGGCAACTAAATATTTAAGAACTTCGTTGTCAAAATAAAAGCAATTTTTATGCTCATTGTTCTTAAAACGCAACGGAACACTGACGCCAACCTTACTCTTGATATCTTCCAGCACACGACGCAAGCAGGTGATGGTTTCCGGTGCCTTGTAGTCAGTGCTGCGAGTACGCGTGAAGAAGAAGACAATATTGTCGGCGGCAGAGCGATCCAGACGTGAGAGCAACTCGCACATGCAGTATTTGAATGCGTCCGTAAGAACAGTCACATCCGGTTTGAGAAGGAAGCACACTGCATGCAGGTACTTCAACTTACCAATGTACTCGAGGATATTCTCAAAGTTTTCTTTGTCTTTGGTAATAGCGCCGCGCGAATCGTTTATTCCCGGCGTGTCGATAATACGAATCACCTTGGAATCATAAGGAAAGAGATACGAAATTGTGGCTGGAATGAATATACATATTTCACACTCGATTTACACCATATTGAAATAATTACGCAGTACCTTGTGTTGATGAGTTGCCCAGAGTCTTGTCTTCATTGGGGTCGTTCTTAAAATGGAGGGTCCTCGAGTCCCCGTCCTCGGTGGTCACGGAAAACTTGACTGGAATCATGCATGATTTCTCCGAAAAAGCATTTACTGCTTCTTCCAATGACGAGTGCTTTAAGTAAATCCCGAATGAATTTATAAACGCTGATTTGCCGGTGCCTGTTTCGCCAAGCAACAGAATATTGATGAAATCGCCTTCGTTTTCGGACATTGTTAGGATCGCACAGGTCAAGCACTTGAACACAACTTGTTCACAAAGGCTGGTACACTGGCTTAAGTAGAAAGCGCACACGTCTGTAACTTTTGATTGGTCGCAGCAGACTTCGTGTATGTTGGTGCTCACCCGACGCTTGTCGAGCGTCGAATCTTTGTCTGTGGAGGGGGCGAGGGTGTGGCAATGTAAATCCCAAACAACGTTATGTGATTTCCGGCGTTGTATTTACAACGGTGTTTTTAGCCAACACTGGCCAATACTTAGTAAACTTGTCAGTTGTGTCTGACTACTCTGCGTTGTAGCACGCTATAACCTGTGTACTTAACCTTATCAGTCATACTTGCATTAAGATTAAACTAAAGGTGTGTTGTGATAATTACGTGATTATCAATTGTTTCATCCCGGCTGGCACCAAAACTTCTGGTAGAAATTTCGTGAGAATTAGAGGATTGTTATTCTTTGTGCAAAAGTGAGTAGATATTATTGATTACGATTTATTTTTCTAACGAGTAGTTTGGTAGACTTATAAGTTGATTATTAGAGCACTTTGTCCAAATTTAAATCAAATTCAATCAATTCAAACTGGAGATAAACATTTTGCGCATCAGTATCAGAAACATTCGCCATGTGTCGAAATAACATAAACAAGTGTCTACTTATATTTTAAAATAGCATCATATATTGATTCCGGGAATAGCATTGAACTTCTGAGAGATGTAAACGTAACAAGTGTTTCTCAGAAATCTCAAAATAAATCCATATATATTAAATTTATTGTTCTTTGGGTAACGACTTTTAGGTGTGGCACTTACGCGGGAAAAATAATTGTATTGTATGTTGTGTTGTTGGTTGCCTACGTTACGCATTTCGCTAACACGACGAAAAATATTTTCATTTTTAGTAATTATGAGCTAGAATATTTTTTTAAAGACATGACATTGATGCTAACATTTGAAATATTGTTGTAGATATGCAACCCAACATCCCTACAAATTGCAATGCAAATTTCTATGACTTAAGCACGATTTTTCAGCTAATTTGTTGGGGTGCACGTTGCGTTACAACCAAATCATTTAAACATAACACAAGTGAATACAACTGAGTGACGCGGAATTCATATTTAGACTTCAGGAAATATTTACCGACATTTTTACTAGAATAATTTAGTTCTTGATGCAACCAATGTTCTAATATATGCAAATATTGTTCTAGTCATGTCTGGTGAAGAAGACAAATTCATTAACATCCTGCTGCTCGGCGAGACCGGCACTGGAAAATCAACATTCATTAATTCGTTTGCGAATTATATGCAACATGCAACGCTGGAAGATGCTGAGAATCTCCCGAAATGTCTATGTCTGATTCCAACAAAGTTCTCAGTGCTTACCGAAAATGGCGACGCGATCACGATCAATTTTCAGAGGGACGATAATGAAGACGAAACGTTTGGTAATTCGTCAACCCAAGGTGCGTTACATTTTAGCAGTTACGATTTATTCAATAAAATTATTATATAATGTGTTACAGCTACGAAAGCGTACGTTTTTCCTTTCGGTGCCAAGATGATTCGCATTATCGACACGCCGGGAATAAACGACTCGCGCGGCGCTGTTACCAAAGACAAAGAAAACTTTGAGAATATCCTCGAGTACATCGGTCAGTTGAAGTACCTGCATGCAGTGTGCTTCCTTCTCAAACCGGATGTGACTGTTCTTACGGACGCCTTCAAATACTGCATGGGCGAGTTGCTCTCACGTCTGGACCGCTCTGCCGCCGACAATATTGTCTTCTTCTTCTCGCGCACGCGCAGTAGCGAGTATAAGGCACCAGAATCCATCGGATGTTTGAAACGATTTTTAAACGAGATTACTAAAAGCAAAGGTGTTACAATTCCGCTACGTTTTAAGGTAAACGAGCGAAACAATTGCTTTTATTTCGACAACGAAGGATTCAATTATCTTGTTGCACGTGAACAAGGTGTGCATGTTGGTCAGCCGGCAAAACTGAAAGAAAGCTGGGAGAATTCATATAAATCCTGTTGGGCATTTATTGATTACATTCTGGGTACCAAAGAGTATGCGCCACTACCACCCCACAATGTGCTGGACACAGTATCAATCAACAGAGCACGTCTGCTTATCTTTGAGTTAGCAAAACCGCTGGCTGATATCATCGAGCTAGTGCAGGATAATGTAAATGCACTCAAGAATCATAAGAAAAGTATTGTCGATGTACAAAACAACGCAGTTCAACTGAAAAGGAAACTGTATTTACCAGTCATAGAATTACAGGAATCTCCGCTTCAGCAACCTGCAACCATATGTACATCAGCAAAATGCACCGAAGTTTACACGGTAAGTTGTCCGAATTGAATTTACCTGTAGTTTATGCTTAATAATTTCAATTTCTTGTTATCACAGATCGCAGGAGTTCAGAAAAATCACTTCAAACAGGTTTGTCACAGTCCTTGCTTCTTACCGGGCGTTTTAAAGGAATTCATCGGCGACCCTGTGTTGTTTGCCTGCGAAGCGATGGGTTGGAGCACCAACTGCAGAAAGTGCGGGTGCAATTTTCTGAATCACACGCACGTGTATTACGAAACACGTGCGGAGGAGTCACGTTTGTTGGATAGGTCGGTTGAGGCTCAGCTTGAATCCAACGAGGACCTCAATAAAGCATACACCGAGTGTGTTCTTGAGCTTGAGAAACGCTTGGAAGATTTACAAAAGGAACAGAAGACAATTTCGACCGCTATGGCTATGTTTGCTCATTTCTTGCAGAATAATTCTATTTGTCCGATTAACGACTCATATGAAGCTTATCTTGATAGCTTAATTAAACGGTATGTCTAAAACACACAAAACGCACAGTTGCCAAATATGAAATTATATTGTTTTGTTCCAGTGAAAAGTCTGCGGTAAACCCGGAAAAGGATCTTTTGGATCGCTACGAATCGCTGAAAGAAGAGCACATCAAACAAAAGCGCCACCTGGATGTAGCGGCTGAATTAGCAAAGAAGCAGAATATTAAACACGTCACCCCGGATCAAATCTTAGCCGCCTTCAAAGACTTGAAGGAGCTGCCGCTCACCGGAAAGAAGATTGACAGTCTGCATCGTTTATTCGTCGAACGCAAGCAGAGCGAAATGCTGAAGAATATGGAGTATGTGCATTCTTTACCGCCACAGCCTAGAAACGAAGATAAAGGCAACGACGAGTTGGAACAAATGCAAGCAGTCATTTTGAACCTGCTTAGTTCCAATTATCAGCAAGCGGCAAACGCTTTATACAAGGAGTTTGTTGAGAAAAAGGAACAGCCTCCAAATATGGTTAAGAAAATGACAGATTGGTTCTCTAACCTGTCACTCCCTTAACAACAATTTTAATAATACATTTCAAGTGGAGGGTAGGATTAACTTGAATGCTTTTATCCCAATATATTTTTTATAATCAATTGAATCACGAAGTATTTATACTTAAAACAATAAATAAAATACCAGAATAATTGTAAGTTTAGTACAGGTGGCGCCATCTACCGTATAACCCGGATAGTACACAGTACGACAGCGTAATCTATATCCAGACATTGGTACCAATAATATCTTCCTCTTTCTATGTCGCCCCTTCCCGATGATAAACAAAACAAATCCCGGTTGATCACATAATCTCACGTCCTCTGGTGCTTAATCTAGTCATAGTTCCTAGCCTTACCAACTCCCAGTATTCTGGTTCTAATAATTTTTTAACATTTACCTATGACGCTCACTTAATTACCATCGAATATCATGTCTCGATTAATATCAACTCACCTCATTGCATTTCTTGCTTGTTTGGCGCTTGTTAATGCAGCAGTGGTGCACACACACGGCAGCCACTCGCTGCACAAGGAACGCGAAGAAGACGGTGCCTATAGTCCTAGGGATAAGAACCATATCGCCAGCGATGAGCACAACGCCGAGTTCGATCATGAAGCCATCCTAGGCTCGGTGAAAACAGCAGAAGAGTTTGACCATCTCACTAAAGAGGAGAGCATCCGAAGGCTTCGCATTCTTCTGGTGCAAATGGATCTGAATGGCGATGGGGCCATAGACAAAAGGGAGTTGAAGGCTTGGATAATGCGATCTTTTAAGTTATTGTCTGAAGAGGAAGCCAAAGAGCGACAAGAGGATGCTGATGAGAATGAGGATGGGAAAATCACTTGGGAGGAATATATCACTGATACATATGGATCAGATGAGGGTGATGATACTTTACCATCATATAATGAACAGGTATTTGCATTGCCATCATCATAAAATCTAAAAATTTCACATTTTTGTTTGTTGCAGCTTATAGCTGATGATAAAGTAATGTGGGATGTAGCAGACACAAACAAGGATAATATTCTTGAGGGTGAAGAATGGATGGCGTTCTCACATCCTGAGGAGAATCCAAGAATGCTGCCAACCATTCTCGCACAGACACTTAAAGGAAAAGACCTGAATCATGACAATGCCATTGATTTTCAGGAATATATTGGCGAGAGGGGAACTGAACATGACAAGGAATGGCTGCTGGTGGAGAAACACAAGTTTGATCATGAACTGGACAGTGATGGTGATGGAAAATTGATGGGAGCTGAAATTCTCTCTTGGGTTGTGCCTAGCAATGAGTAAAAACTTGAAATTTGCAAATAATACATGCAATTATGATTGTTTTCTTGCTGTTTTAGAGAAATTGCTGGTGAGGAAGTTGATCATCTGTTTGAAACAAGTGATGATGATCAAGATGGAATCTTATCATTCGATGAAGTAGTAGCGCATCACGATACGTTCGTCGGCAGTGAAGCGACTGATTACGGTGATCATATCCATAATATTCATCAGTTTACCGACGAATTGTAAATACATGCGTCACGAATTTACCAAATCGATGAAAACCATCTCAGTAATTTATTTTTAGTCTAGTTTAATTTTAACGCTACGCATGTATAGATTTAAAATCAAATTTAAATCAAACACAAATGTGTAAAGTGCGTATTTAATTTATTCGAAAAATAATTCGTGTATTTATTGTGTTGAATGTCACTTTGGTATTGTATAATTTAGTAAATTCGATTTGTGCCATTATCTGAGAGAAAAATACTCATACCAAGCAGCAGATTCTTTGAATATTTTTAACAATTACACTAATTATTAAAAAAACAATTCTGCTTCACTTTTAAGGTAAAGGTGTTTCGCGTAGGTAGCATTTACCTGAAGGCAACTCGAAAGTTTTCGCATTCGGAAACTTTTCAGCGACAACTTCAGCTGAAACCGTCGGTTGGACCATTACGCCATCACCCTGCTTCCAATCCGCGGGTGTTGCAATCAAATGCTTATCAGTTAATTGCAATGCATCAATAACTCTTAAGATTTCACTTTAAAATTCATGTAAAAATCATTATTTGCGATTATTTTGCAGGAAGTTAAACACTTACTCAAAATTGCGGCCAACTGTCGCCGGATATAAGATCGACAAGCGATATTTCTTGTTGGCATCAATAATAAACACAGCTCTCGCAGTGAGTGGCATTCCTTTGGAGTCTCTTTCATCCAAATCCAACATATTTAGCAGAACTGAGAGGTCTCGGGACTCATCAGCAATGATAGGATAAGGAAATGTTACATTTGGGAGATTGCCATAGGCTTTGATGTCTTTCGTCCATTCTAAATGATTCTTTACATTGTCTAAAGATAATGCAATGGGTTTTACACCTCGCTTCTCAAACTCTGGAACAAGTTTCGCAACTCTGGCTAGTTCTGTGGTGCAGACTGGTGTGAAGTCAGCAGGATGTGAGAATAATATTCCCCAACTATATAAAAATTAAAAAATATACATTAGATTATGGTTTAATTGTAATTTATTACAATTATATTAATATTGTAAGTAGTTTTATAACGTTTTGTAGAATTATTAAGGTTATGCAAGTTCGAAATTTAAAAATAATGAAATTTTCAGATAAAACAAGATGATTCTTACGAATTTCCAAGCCATTCGTGAAAATCAATCTCTCCAATGGTGGTGTTGGCTTTGAAGTTTGGAAAAACACTTCCCAACTGCAACATTTTTGCTGAAGTTTGTTGGTGTGCTTCGGTTTGTTGCAATGCCGGCGAATCAGCGTGTGTGTATGGAAACAATGATAAAACCACCAACAGAGCAACAGTTTTTGCATTCAATATGTTAAACCATATGCTAAACAATCTAAAACCATTACCACGGCTACTAATAATGAACATTTTTATACCCACGGAACCCTTTTATAGGCGTTTTGTTGTTATTATACTAATCGATTCCGATTAATTCGTTTACATGCGGTAATCTAATATCTGCTTATAATTGTAATCAAATATTTACGAAAGGTGAGTGCTATTTGCCGAATTAGAAAACTATCGTGGAATAATTGCAATGAGCGAGTGTGGCGAGCTTTTATAGGTTTTCAGCGGAATTCAGTAAACAATCGACAATAAACAACGATTAGAACACATTAATTCAATTGCTTGTATTCAATAAAATTTGAATACATGAGTCAATGTTTGTTATTATTACTACATATTACAGTGCATAAATGCTTGAGCTAGATATTGATAAATAACTTGTGTAGTCATGCTTGTTACTTCATGAATGTTCCAGAATTTTATTAAGATTTATGTTTAATTAACATTATAGTAATAATAATAATAATAAGAAAGATATTCACTCATAAATTTATCTTTTAATTGTGTAATTTGATTGAAAAGCTTGCAAAATTTTATTTTTTTACGTTTAATTGTATTTTTCCTACTTTAATATGCAAATTACATTTTCTCTTGCAAGTTTCCACTGATAAATATTAATTTACAATCATATAAATACTCGTGGTTGATTTATCGATAGCATATCAGTCTCTACAGCTGCAATTACAAGCATTCCAGCAATTTTACTGATTTACTAAGAAGTAAAATCTTTCATTTCTAAAAATGGCCGCCATTAAAATTACCATCGTTTGTCTTATTGTCGCTATCATTGCGATGGTAAACTATTAAATAAAATAATTGGTTGTTTTGTTATTTTTAAGCTTGCAATGCTTGCAGATCAACGTGGCATCCGCTCAAGATGTTCTCAACACTGATTGTTTGATTAATTTGTCTGATACGGGATTCGGGCCGGAATTCCAGAGTATTGTGGACGCCATTGTTCGTTTTCTGAAACAACTCCTCTCTGGACTGGGGCTTGATAATCTTGTTTGTTAATTATAAATATAAATAAACATATATGTAGACAAATAATGCTTTTTTATTTTTATTTGATATATAAACATAAATAACATGTAAAAATAAGTAATTTTGACCATGCTGAGAATTAGAGACAACTTGAGGAGCGTAAATATGCATTCAAGTTTAAACTTTAATGTTAATTGTCATATATTTTTAAAAGGCTTAAATTAACTATTCTGCGGATTAATAATAATTATTATCGATGGCTATCTGCTCTTCCAAGCGGGACCAGATAGTGTTTGGACATTAGTCCTCATTTTACTAGTTCATAACCTAAAATAATGCAATATTAATAGCAATTATTACATATCAAGAGTGGAAAACAATGAAATAACATTATACACCATATGTAAATGTATAAATAAATAACTTTTTCTACTTCCACCTTAAAAACGCCACTTTTTCACGGTTTTGAGGCGCAGAAAGCACGGAGGGAGAAAACCGTGACTAAAGTAATTTAGGCACGGGGTAGAGCTTGCGTCTGCGCATTTGTCTACGATGCAGTACAAGCCCATATGAAATGCCATGCATTATAATAAATATATTTATTTATTTATTTATTTATATACATTTATTTGATTGTGCGTATGTGCGCGAACTCCCATGTATTTTTAACCTTACATTTTCCAGTAGCATGCAAACAAAGTTTAAAGTTTTAAAATAAAAAGTTCAAATTCAAAAACTAAACATGAAAATACTGCAGAAATAAAAAAATTAGCGTAAGCATCACGTTGCTATACGTTGTTAAAATGCCGTTTAGCGCACTTGATACTTAATATACTATTTAAAACATTTAAAACTTATTGATGACAACTTTAAGATTGCAATCATTATCTACTTAATTATTAACGATTAAGCAATTATTAAGTAAAATTAATTCAAGTGTGATGAAACGAATTCTTACCTCGTATGCGTCGAATCAAAAGTTGGTACCGTTTATTTCCGCAGATATGTAAATTTTGTTGGCGAAAAACTCATGTTAAAATAATATAAATATCGCTGGGTGAAAAGCAGGAAGCATCAGTTCAGCACTCACTGTTTAAAGAGTTATATTAATTATAATTCAATCCAATTTACAAAATGGCCGCCAGCAAAATCACCATCTTCTGCTTTGTGGCAATCATCGCTGTTTTGGTAATTTCAATTACACAATAAGCAATAAATATTAAAGAAAAACATATAAATATTTGATATTATTTTGACAGGCTAATGTGGCATCAGCCCAAGATGTTATCAATACTGATTGTTTGATCGACTTGTCTAATATGGGATTCGGACCGGAGTTCCAGGCTGTTGTGAACGCCATTGTTCGTTTTCTGCAACAAATCCTTTCTGGACTGGGGCTTGATAATCTTGTTTGTTAATAAGCACTGAATATTAACAAAATGTTCTATAAATACGCAATTACACAATTGAATGTAATAAATATATTAATATATTAACAATACAATGTGTTTACCATTTACAATATTATTCCATTCATAAATTATGTCAAATTACATGTAATATCTTCAAAATATTCTGCGCCATTATTTTTTGATATGTAGTGTACTCAGGAGCTACCTGATATTGTCTAAAGCATGAATTTTGAAAATAAACAAGAGTAATTGGGAGAAGTTTCAGTTATTATTTATCAAGTGCACTAAAAAGACACATTAACAACGTTTATTTTACTTTCATTGAAATTCCACGTTTAATTTTTATATTTGAACGTTTTATTTTAAAACTTCGAACTTTGTTTGCATACTACTGGAAAATGTAAGGTTATAAATACATGGGAGTTGGCCTTGTCTACCCCGTAACTAAAGTACTTTAGTCACGACCTTGACACTCCGTGATTAAATTGTCATTGGTGCTTTGAAACCGTAGATAAAGTGGCGCTTTAAAAGTGGAAGTAGAAAAAGATAATTATGTAAATATGTAAATAAAAAAACTTTAATAACAAATGTTGTTTCTAATTCCTGAATTTTATTATTTTCTTAGTTGAATACGTAATGTTTCTAATAATAATTTTGTGATTTTCTTGGATTTTACGAAAACATTCCTGAAGTATACATTAAAATATTATTAAAATTATTACTTTAGATGTAGTTTTCACGTGCTTTTTTTTAAATTTAATTAAGAGAAGCTATATTTTAAAGTTGCAAGCATTTTTAAGCAAAATTGATGAACTATAATGAATTTCAGATAACTTCATGGCACAAAAGGCTCAAAATATATTAATCTACTATCTGTTTTCGGATAAAAATGAGATTTACAATTAAATATTGAATTGAATGAATTTACAGGTTGAAACTTCATCATACCTAATAACATTGTGACAAATTCACAACATTTTTATTAAAAACGAAAAACCAAAAGAAAATTATTTATAAAACATTTAAAAACATTTATGTAAATCGCAAATTGCTTAATTTAAATGATTTCATATTTAATATTTCCATTTTCGTCATATTATTGATGAAATATACGTAAAAGATTTGACTTGCGTTAATTCCTTGTATTTTTCCCACGTTAATATGTAAATGATCGCTTTTCTTGCAATTTATTACTGATAACAATTAATAACTTTTAATATAAATACCAACGAATCAATCTTCAACAGCATTCCAGCTTCAACAGCTACAATCACAATCACAAGCATTCAATCAAATCCACAAAAAAAAATTCAATTTTTCATTTTCAAAATGGCCGCCACCAAAGTTACCATGATCTGTCTGGTCGTCATTGTTGCAATTGTAAGTATTAAATTTAATTCTAAACAAATATAATAAAAAACATAAACTAATTTTATATAATCATTTATAGATCAACATGGCGTCCGCCCAAAATGTCCTCAACACTGATTGTTTGATAAATTTGTCTGATATGGGATTCGGGCCAGAATTCCAAGGAATTTTGAATTCTATTGTTCGTTTCCTTCAACAACTCCTCTCAGGAGTAGGACTTGATAATCTTATTTGTTAAAACTAACAAACAATTTAAATAAATATATTTAACAACAAATTTCACGTTTTTTTTTGGTAAAACATTCAAAAAATAAAAACGAAATTATTTCGTGAGTTAGTTATTTATATATCCAAACAATAGGAAACCAAACACATTAATGTGCAATCATTGATAACAACAGTGCAATATATTTGTGTCATTATATTACTTGCACACTATTACAAAATATAGTATGAAATTGGAATTTTATTTATAGCAATATAATGCTTGAATCGAAGCATGTAATTAAGTTTGAAAGCTTTTGTTCACTTGCCCAACAATCAGAAACCTTTCGCAAGTAATTGACGCAGGTATAGTAATAATTATTGCTTAAAATGTTCCTTTAAATATTGGAACCCAAATTGACTTTTTCAGTATCACATTAACTATTTACTTTAATAAGTTTTGCTTGATTTTAACCACAAACCACAAACAAAATGTCTAACAAACTTTTCATTCTTTTGGGATTGCTTGCTTGCATCTCTGTAGTAAGTACTTAAATAATTTAATTTAATTATACTTAGTTATGGGTATTAATATTATGTGTTTTTTATTAGACGATTTGTTCTGGAGACTCCAGTGATAGTTCTTTAAATTCATCATCGTCTGATGATGATTCTACTGCAGAAGTAAATGAATCACCTGATGAGAATGAGAATAATGAAGATGAGGATGTAGATGATGATGATGACACTGATGGTGAGGGTGCAGATGAAGAAAATGAAGTTATTGAATCACCAGATGTACCAGATGAAGATGTAGATGAGCCACAGCCAGAGTAATCTGTCAAAGTTGGTTTTATTCTATTTTTATCTCTTAATATTTGTTTGTTGGTTGTTTGTTTAATCATATTATGTTTATTAAATATTCTTATTCTAAAATGTTCATAATTTTAATAATAGCTGTAGTAAATCATAAGTAAATCTATGAAATGCTATAACAGATGATTTGTGACACGAAATTCTTCAGATTTGGCAGAAAAAATGCCAACAATTCATCCACGCCTTTGATAACATACTTCCAATACCCAAGTGCAGAAAGACACTCATAGTTTTTAGTCTTCTCTGTTTCAAAAATATCAAAATTCAGTTCTTTGTCATTATGAAAGTCCAGTGCCCTTGATGTTGTTGTCAAACTGAAAACCTGCAACTAAAGATTTATATAAGTATTACTTTATTACTTCTGAATTAGTTTAATTTACTTACCATCTTTAAATGTATTAACACCCCAATCAATAAAGTTGTTACAATTGGTTGGCACTTCATTGTATTATTTAAAAATCAATAAATTGTGCGGTATTTATCACTACAAGTTCTTTTCTAAACTAAAAGCATTTCTTTGGTTTGAAAAATGTTATATTATGGTAAATATATGTCATGTACAAAGAAATGTAATTAAAAATGCGTTGCAAATTGTCCTACTGATCCATATTTGTGATAACTAACGCTAATTAAACTTAGGTAAATTAGTACTTCTTTGATGAGCACTCACAAGAAGCGAACAACACACCAGTTCATTGAAATAATTAAGATAAGTGTGCCTAACATCAAGAATTGTATCTGAAAATAAGAAACAAGAACATAAATTAAACTATATTTGTGATTGAAGTTTTTTCGATTCTGGATTATAAGATTTGTTATCAGTAGGTTGTTATCATGCTAGTCTTTCAATCTAGAACTTTCTAGACTAAAAGTTTTCATAGTTTCATTGTTTAAGTTCCAAAGGTATAGTAAATAATCTAACCTCATAAACTTATAACTATTAATACTTGTTCTTGAGTTGTAGTTAGGCAAAGAAATGTTTAAAATACATTAAACATCCATGCCATCCACATCAATTCATCTGCTAAGAACAAATGATTTGACAATCAAAGGAGCTTAAGAAACAAACCAAAAAATGTTCAATCCACTGAAAGCTGAACTCGACAAGATGAAAATCATACTTGCAACTAGTTCTAAACAGAGGCATGAGATATTAAGAAGAGCTGTAAGTATCATAAGCAATAAATGATTAAATTTATTACATAATTCCTTTTCAGGGAGTGTCTTTTGATGTACAAACACCAGATTTTGAGGAAAACTTGGACAGAACTAAATATTCCTTTCAAGAATATGTGCAAGAAACTGCATTTGGAAAAGTCAAAGCTGTCGAAGCAATATTGGCACAAAAAGGTGAAAACCCTGATATTATAATTGGACTAGACACTATGGTGTCATGTGGTGATAAATTTTATGGAAAACCAAAAGATACTAAAGATGCTATAGACACAATTAGATATTTAACTAATTCCAATATACCAAATATTGTTTTAACTGGCGTTTGCATAAAGTACAAAGATAACTATGAGAAATTCGTGGAGAGCACCAAAGTTTACATGAGAAAACTGACAGAAGAGGAAATCTTGGGATATGTTGAGACTGGGGAACCAATGTAAGTGAAACCATTACTTCTAAAGTTATCATTAATATATTTTATTTTAAATTTAGGGGCCATGCAGGTTCATATGCAATTCAAAATATCGCTGCATCATTTGTGGAACGAATCGACGGCGATTATAATAATGTGATAGGATTGCCATTGTGTGCAATCACATTAAAGTTACGTGAACTTGTTAGAAAGTACGAACAAAATTAACCAAATTGATAACCAATTTATATAAGAAAATGTTTATTTTTAAAATGGGTGCCATTTAGTTTTTTTGGACTTTTAAACATGTCCTCAGAGAGGGCGCAAATTATTTTTGACATTTGACGGAAAACTAACCATAACCAATCGTATATAGTGAAGTAAAAGAATAAATCTTAAGTTTTAAAACTTTATTGAACACAGCAATGTGTTTCACCATGATTTATTTATTTATTCTTTTATTTCACTATAATTATGAAGTTTTATCAGATAAACACGTCAACAATTCAATACTAATCATATAGGTTATGTTTCTGAAACTTTTTACTTACCTAGACAAACTTTTCGCTTTTTTCTATTTTCTCTTGTACCAAACACAAATAATTTCCTTTCTGGTATTAAAATGTGTTTATTATTGATAATATTTATTACGCAATATTTATTTATATTATCATATAATCTATTATACAGTATCTTGTCTTAAATATCTCCTCGCAAACTTTACGTCCATTCCATCAGATTCTCAACGCTCAACCGCAGACATCAACAAAAGAACATACATCTCGCCTCCGAATTACGCGGAACGTAACAATAATAATAATAAAATTTCGACACTCGCTATTTTGCTTTTATTGAAGGCGCGCTTCATGATTTAAAAAAATAGTGCAGTAGTAATCTCAATCAACATTCGCTTAATTAGTTCCTATTTCCTCATTTTGCATCACATCAACGTAAATTGTTTAAATCTGTTGCCATCTCGTATCATCGAATAAAATCTAACATAAACGGATATAATAAGCAACGCTATGGCTTAGTTTTTCTTATTCTGCTTACAATTCAAATAAACCCGGTGTTTTGAAACGATGAGATTTTTATAAAAGTTAGTAGTACATAACGCGATTGGTAAAACGGAAAAGAATTGCATCCGTGTTAAACACCCGGCGGTGGTAGAGACGTAAACGATGCATTCGGATGATTCAAACCACCTGGAAAAGCGCCGTTAAATGCTTGCTGCGGAGGAAATCCTCTTGGATCATTTTGTGGCGGCGGTGCCTGCATATGCGGAGGCACCATCGCCGGCGGTTGATGTTGCTGCTGCTGTTGTTGTTGTTGTTGGAGATGTTGTGGTGGCGGAGGTGGTCCATTCTGAGTGGGATGCTGCGGTGGTGGTTGTTGCTGTTGTGGTGGCTGCGCTTGGGGCGGCAACATATTTGGAGGCGGCAGCGTGTTGAAATGATTCGGGGAATCATTACAGCATTCGGGGGAGGCATGAATTGCCTGTCATGACCAATCGTGTTGAACATCGAGGGATGCGGTGGAGGCGGTTGGGAATGCGGCGGCATATTTCCATTAAACATCTTTAAAACAAAAATTTAAAGAATTTAAAAACCATCATTATACTATAATAGTATATTAAGTATCAAGTGGGTTAAGTGGCACTTTAACCACCCCGTGACTAAAACCCGTGACTAAAGTAGAAAAATTAACTCACCATATGTGGTGGTGGTGGCATATGATTGGGAGGCGGCGGCATATGATTAGGTGGTGGTCCTCCAGTAAAATTATGATAACCGGGTTGTTTAATGCCGCCCAATGCAGAAATCGGCGGCTCACGCATCAGCGAATGATAGAGACTCAATGCTTCCACCAAATCGGAGCTAAGCTGCGTCAGTTGAGCGTGTTTTCGATCTACGTTCTCAAGTTCTTTATCAATAAGCGTTCCCATACTGTTTACTTCACCTAACAACATAAAATATTCAATAAACAAAACATTTAAGTAAAATATTTAAAAATTTCACTCACGTTCAAGACTTAGCATTTCTTTGGTGTCATATTCAGGATTAGTCGGGTCAGCTTCATGCAGCAGGTGCAAAAGTCGATCGATTTTCGCCTCATCAATCTCGGAGACTTCTTCTTTGATTTCATCTAATCTCTTATCCAGCGAATCGTCCAACATGTCAATTTTCTTCTTTTTTTCTTCCACTAAATCACAAATTATTATAAAATTCATAATTTTTTAAAGAATTAACTTACTTAATTGTTGAGGATCCAATGATAAATCAGTCGTGACAAAATTAGCGGGGAACAACCCTTCGCCCCGCTGATTGCTGCCTTTCCACCAGTTCGGATCCGAATCATCGATTATGAATACTAAAAAATTCAAAAAAAAAGTTTTACTTAAGATAAGTATATAGATAAGACAAGAGTAATGACTCACTGATTTCTCCATCGTTAAAAGTCAGCTCGTTGTCCTCAGCAGCGACGAAATCATAAAGCGCACGCACTTTACGCTGTTCTTTCACTACCGCTCCGCTGCCACCCGCCGCAACAGCACCCATCGCACTGACATTCGTTGAGGGATACAATGATGATGTACCTGCCGACGAGGATGCGTTCGCATTGGATGAGTATGCGGAAGCGGAGCTGTTATTATGCGGCGAGCTGCCGCCGGCGTCTTTCAGGGACAGTTCGATGGCTTTTGCGATTTGATCCTCTTCCTCTTGCGACTGTACTACGTTCGGGTCCTTACTTAATTGCACCGTTCGTTTTGGCTAAACACAAAGATTCATATTTAAATAAAATTATTTAAAACAAAGTAAAATAAAACTTACTTGTTCCTCAAAACTAAAATCTAATCCAGTATTCCTCAGTTTATTATACAATGAAGGAATGAGATTTAGCTGTGGATCACTTTTAAACTCATTCTCAGCCCACTTCTTCAAGCTCTCCCTCAGTTTCTTGTTCACTTGTGGATGGCTCTTCTGTAACAGCTTGTTGTATTCATTCTCAAACTCCCTAGAGGCAATCTCCAGATGAAATACCATCCCACAGTTCTTTATACATGCATCAAGCAGCTGAAAATCATCAAATTAGTAAAAAATTGATGAAAATTTCACAATTTTAAGTAATACCGTAACAGCTTGTATGGCAACATGTGGATCTGTATTGTTGGCTCGCTTGATGATGGCCTTCATGTAATCCTTGGCGGCGGCAGGCGTCTTCCCTGCCTTATCACACACCTCCATAATGAGGCCCCATTCCTCCTTGGTGTTTTTCTCATCAGTGGCCTTAGCTACAGCACAAACACGGATATAAATTACAACAAAATGTAGTTGGTGGCGGTCAGACTGTCGTAAACAACAATTAGGCGAATGTGCGCAATTGTCGTCAGACAGAACAATAATTTCTATATCGTATAGGGGCAATGACTCACCAACATCGGTCTCACACGGTGTCGCAGCCCCCCACAACCCCATCGCGCGGTGTTTCAACGGGTGCAGCTGTTACGTGAGACGGTGGTAACCTGGTGGTGCGGTCGAGGTGGTCGATCGCGGTGTGTTTTGTTCGCTTGGTGGCCGCGAGTGGATAATCTATTTACATTATTAATTTTTCCAAATGTGTGGATTGCTTGTGTGTGATATTCGGACTGACATGAATGACGACAGGAGACAGCGAATTGACAAAACGTAGCGACGTCTTTTACAAAACAAGAAAATCACAGGATTTTGTTTTTGGAAATTGACGATAGATGGCGCAATGGGTACCATTGTCAGAATTTATTCTATAAATTTTACTTTTTATATTTATTTAGTTAATATATACATATAAAGACTTGTTTGGGAATTAATCTATACAACTTTAGATATGGCAATGGCTGCTTTACACCCAGCTTTAATAAGTTCTGAATAAGCTTTGTAAAATGGTGCTTGTTCAGCTCCATGATCAATTCCATGATCATGATGTTCTTGTTCTTCATCTCTAAACTTTGTTATGGTTTCTAATAGTTCTTTGTTCGCCTTCGGGTCATCCATTAGCGTTCGCAGTTGATCATTGTAGTGCTCTACAATCACAGTTTCCACTGCCACTGTACATGCCATTGCTGCTTTCTCACCTTGTATTAAAAAAATAATTAAATAATCTAAACTTAAGCCGGAAGTATTAAAATTACCCAATAAAGCACTCCCAGCTCCCAAAACAAACCCAGCAACATTCCAGATGGGTGTCATGACAGTTGGCCGAACACGATACTTCCTGATAAGTTCCTCAAACTTAGCCCGATGCTCTTTTTCTTGCTCCCACATGTGTTTAATTAGTGGTCCATTTGGGCCACTGCCTAGGATTGCCATTTGACCGGCGTAAATTCGATCTGCACCCAATTCGCCAGCATGATCAACTCTGATAATCTTGTCAAGCTCAGCTCTTGAAGTGTAGCTTCTTTTTATGATGTTGCTTGCACTAGTAGTGCTGATTCTTATTGGTAACATTACTAAAACTAATATTAAACAAACAATTACTGAGGTTAAGTAAAAAGATATAAAATCACAGAGTTATTTGTAGTGTGGATTGGAATTAATAGAATGGATAGAATACAGGATGCTTTAACAACATTTAAAGATGAATGTAAAGGTAGGCAAAGTAAACATTAGATACCTCTTTATGTACCTTTTATGCCAGAAGCCAAAAAGATGCAATAGTTTACATGAATATTGTTTATTCGACGCAATATTGTGATCTGAAGTTTCTCAAATAACAAAATAACCTCACTTTGATGTTGTGAGAAACTACCTTTGGATAATAATGATTTATTTATTTATTTAAAACAACAATAAGCTACATTAACAAATCTTATGCAAATAAATTCCATATTAAATTCCAATAACAACTTTTACAATCTTGTACACAAACAAACAAGTTTTTAACACTTTTATTTATTTGGCAGAAGTTTTTAGAATGTAATAAACAAGTTATGCGCAAAATCAACAAACAATTGTTGCTTTTATTGTGATAATTTGATTGTTATAAGATTTAGTAACGTAAAATATTGCATGTTTTAATTATTAATAATTATCTTTAACTTTTTATCTGTTTGCCTTCAGATTTTTTACATTTTAATCTTGAAGTGCCTGTTATTGAATACAATTCGAATGATCCAGACTGGCCGTTAATGTTTAACAGAGATTATGTATCAAAGAATATTCCCGTAAAGATAAAACATGGCTACGATTCAATGGGAGCGTTAAATAAATGGAATATTGAGTATTTATTGTATGTAAACCATTAAACACTACGATTTTGTTCTAAAAACTTTTAAAATTTAGAGAAAAACTATCAAAGAAAGAAGTTATTGTTGCTGTTACACCAAACGGATATGCAGATGGACTTTTAAACATAAAAACAAGCAATAAAATTGAAAAACAACAAGATGATGATGTATTCGTGCTACCTGAAGAAGTAAAAATGTCTTTTGAAGAATTTATCGAAAACATTCAACATCCAAAGTAAGTTTCTTCATTAAAATAATCTAAATACCACTGAATTAAATTGTTTTTAGGCCAAATTACGTTTGTTACATACAAAGACAAGATTCTAATTTCACTGAAGATTTTCCTGAGCTGCGCAACGATGTAGAACAAATAATTTGGGCTCAAAAAGCATTTGGTAAACAACCCGACGCTATAAACTTCTGGATGGGGGATTCACGCGCGATAACAAGCAGTAAGTTATTTTCTAATTTAACTAGTTGTAAATATGTTTACTATGAGCAACTGGAATTTTAGTGCATAAAGATTTCTATGAAAACATTTACTGCGTCATAAGCGGGCATAAAGATTTCATTTTGATACCGCCGACTGATTTGCCACATTTGACCTACAAAAACTTCAAAGTTGCAAAGTATAAAAATGTATCAACAAGTGATTATGACCTGGAACTACAAAAAGATGAAGAAAATAAGGTGAATGAAGTGCCATGGTTGGTGAATGATCCATTGACTGATAAGTTGGACAATGCAAATTTATATCATGTTAGGGTTGAAAAGGGCGAATGTTTGTATTTACCAAGTTTGTGGTTTCATCATGTACGACAGAGTCATGGCTGCATTGCTGTAAATTACTGGTATGATATGGAATTCGACGTTAAATGGTGTTATTATAAACTATTAGAAAAATTATGTAAAATGGAAAATGCTTATGCAACCAAATATACACGATGAAAATATATAGTGGGGTTGGGGATTGGTGTGAGAAATGTCAATGTCAGAAATGACGCTCGTGTTTACAATCCATTAGTGTTTTCGTGCGCGGCGTAACGTGCGGTCGGTCGCTTCCCAGTTTGCTGTGACTACCTCGATCATAATGTCGGTCGTCGGTGCGGCCAGGTAAAAGGTGTGCTTGTAACCTCGAGCAATGCAGCGGTCGACGCGACGACCGCGATGTGTGCGCGCGTGTTTGGCGTAGCGCTTAGTAACGCAGCGCATTCAACTGTTTCATCAACAACAAAAGCGCGCGCGGCTGCCGCGGCGGCAAGATGCGTCCGCACCAGCTGCACGCGCTGCTCGGCATCGTCGTCTGCCTCTTCGTACTCTTCGGCAACGCGGCGGTGGACCTGGTGCCGTGCGACCGGACGCGGCGCGTCTTTGCCGATGCATGGGGCGTTATTACCGACGGCCCGCTGGGCTCCAACTATACACAGGACTCGCACTGCGAGTGGCTTATCAAAGCCCCATCGGCGAAGAAATTCATCACGCTCAGTTTCCGTAGCATGGGCACCGAGTGCTCCTATGACTACGTCTTCGTCTACGACGGCGATTCGTTTCGCTCGCCGTTGCTAGGCAGTTTCAGCGGTAAAACCGAACCGCAGCAGGTGGTGGCCAGCAGTGGCTACATGCTCATCCTGCTCTACAGTGATACCAACTATGTATTAGACGGTTTCCGCGCCGAGTTTTCCATCACGGACTGTCCGAGCAATTGCTCCAGTCACGGACTGTGCCATAACCACAAATGTGTGTGCGAGAGCGGCTGGGGTGGGCGTGATTGCTCAAAGGAAGTGTGTCCGGAGAACTGCGGCACCAATCTGGGACATGGCCGTTGCGAGGCCGGAAAATGTGTGTGCCAGGAGGGTTTTTCCGGGCAGGCTTGTAGTCTCACCGAACGAGACCCGCATGGGAATAGATGGCACTGGCTGTCGCATTCGGAAGGTGGCCTAACTCCGCGCGCCGCTCACAGCGCCGTCTACGTCGAACAAACTGACAGCCTCTACGTATTTGGAGGTTATAATCTGAACAAAATACTCACATCATTAGAAATATACAGTTTTCGCAACTCATCGTGGCTGGACGAACGCGGCCAGCCGATACCAGATCACACATTAGTGAATCCAGTCGATCACAGCTCAATACCAACTTTAATCGATAACGCCGGCCCTGACTGGCAGAAGAAATGGGGATTAACACCCGGCACATCGTTTTTTCGTTCATTTCTCTACATCAACGACAATAGTACACTAGAAAGACGCAAGAGGCCTATGGGCCATCAACCGGAGGTAACCGAGCGCCCTCTACCGAGATACGGCCACGCCGCTTGCGAAGTAAACGAAGGTTTTTTAGTTTTCGGCGGAAAGTTAGCAAACGGCTCGTTATCGAACGATTTATGGCTGTTTAACGTACTCAACTATAAATGGGAGCTACGAGCACAACAGTCGACACTCCAACCGCCACGGTTAACAAGACACAGCCTCACACGGACGAAAAACGACGAAGTTTATTTATTTGGTGGCAGCACCATCGATGGCGAGTTCTCCGCCAAGCTATACATGATCAAACTTGTTTCAGACGGCAGTGAAGAATGGACCGAGATCAAACCCCGCGGGGGTAAAGAATTAGACGTGCGTGTTGTGGCGCATTCAGCTGTTTATCATCCAGCAACAAATTCAATCTTAATCTACGGTGGGATTGTTGCTGGTGTCGCAAGATTTTCCAAACTTTCGGATCGAATGTACGCGTATCAACTGGACCACAAGCATTGGTCCGAGATACATTACATCAGGGACTTTTTACGGGATAGATTCGTGCCCAGGGAGCGCGCATTTCACACAGCGAGTATCCTCGGGAATTATCTGGTTGTCTTCGGTGGGTATTCACATCGTCACAACAAGGAAGAAATCTGTTACGACAATCAAATGTACCTCTATCATCTTGGGTGTCACACATGGGTGAATCCTGACATTCTCGGCGGGAGTAAAGATTCATCTTATCCGAAGCAACAGGGTGTGTTTGCGCATGCGGCGAGTATTCGCAATGGTAATACATTGTTGTTAGTCGGCGGTTACCATGGCAACGTGAATGGTGATTTGCTGGCGTATACCGTGCCGCCGATGATCGCCGCACGCAATGGCGATGATTATGAACCGGAGATATCCTGTCCGCGGCACAAGCATCACTCGGAGTGTTTGGCGGATCCCGAATGCGGATGGTGCGCGTCGGATGAGTCGTGTTATGGGAGGACGGTGGGTGCGAATTGTACCACGAATCTACAGACGACGCGATGTCCGGGCGTGTGTCCAGCGCTCGGGGATTGCCACTCGTGTTTGATTCATGGCCGCACGGATAATTCGAATCGGCAGACGAAGACGGTGGCGCAGAAGTTGGGCCTGTCGCATTGCACGTGGTGCGTGCAGAACGCGCGGTGTCATCACAAGGATGATAATTACGGGGTGTGCGGGTTGCGCGATGATAGTCCCGGGCATGTGAAAGGGTGGTGGGGGTCGCAGGGCACCGAGGTGGATAATGCGGACAAGTGTCGCGAGGAGGATAAGCGACCCGGGTTGACTTTTATCAAGTACTATCATCCGGTGAACTTTTCGCAGCCGGATTATGTTTCAATTATTAATGCAACAACGGTAAGTAATCGTAGAAGTGGTGGGGAAGTGTTTTTTTGGTAGAGTAGCAAAAAAAATTGAAAATTTGTTTTTTGGTTTGTTTTATTTAAAAATTGATTTTTTATTAATTTTGAATGAATTTTGTCTTCAAATTACCCTGTAGTTTGGTTTTAACGTTATTCAATTTAACGACAATCTCGTAAATGGTGAATTTTGTATAAGTTGGTTGGTTTATTCTTATTTCCTCTACGATGAAAAATTGCAGAGATTGCATTTTATATAAAATTTTTATATTTTATTTCAATATTATTCCGAAAATATTAAATATTTGCTTTATGATTTGTTGTAAAGTAGAAATTATGACAATTAAATATTTATGTCTTAATTATACTCGAGCGGCGGTAATTTTCACAGATTTATTATGTTTGATAAGCTTTTATTGCTTTCCAGTGGTTAATTACGTTTAAATGAGGCTTATTTCCTGTTTTGCATTTGTGTTTCACCTTAAAATTGCTCGTCAAAATGTATTTTCAGTCGAAATTGCTGGAATTGTCAAAACAAGCATAATTTAACTTTGGGTAAAGAATTTTTTGCTCAATTATATGTTAGGGAACAGTAATCAATATAATTAACAACAAACGTGATACCACTAAACATAAAAATTTTATTCGATATAATATTGCAACGTAAAATATCAATAATTTAAAGCAATAATAGTGTATTAAGTATCAATTGACTAAACGGAGACTTTACTCACGAGATTGATTAAGTTTAAGCAATCAAGTGCTTAACAACGTTTAGCCACGTGATGATTACGCTATTTTTTCTATTTCTACTCTAGTTCCAGGTTAGTTTTTGTATTTCAACTTTTTGTTTTAAGTCATCGGAATTTGCTCGCACACTTCTACAAAATGTGAGGTTATAAATACCATACTACACGCCGGGTCATGTGACACGTCCGGAGATATCGTGCCGCTCCGACACGAACAGCAGCAGCGCCTCCTTTGACGTGTTTGACAGACGTCACATGATATTTCATACAGTTTTGTACTGCTCTGTAGACAAATGCGCAGGCGCAAGCTCCATCCCGTAAATAATGCCCGTAGATAATAGATATTACTCACAGCTTGCCCGTCCGTATATAAAACACAACTTTTTGTGTCTAAAAACCGTGGAAACATAATATTTTGGTCAATATTACAACTATGCCGGCAAAAAGTTTTCCGCTGACAAATAACGATCGATAATTTCAAAATGACACAATTTATTATTGACTCGAACAATTCTCATGCTCATGCTTCGTTCGCATTAGTGTTTAACATACTTCTTACATGATGAACATGATTTATTTGTTTTGCGCTGGCGGCGGATGAGCGATGGCGCAAACATGGGTGTAAAAATAAAACAAAACCCGATCGGAATGGCGACAATGTTTTGCATTTGCATACAAATTTGAACGCGCCGCGTTATCACCGGCAAAACTATGCTAAATGCGTCTCGCGGCAATAAAAATGCTTGCATTAACGCAACGAGACATGCTAATCATTGTAATTTGTTAATAATTTTGCATAATTGTCCCACTTGTATAGTCTCGCCATCGGTGATTGTTGATTTAACAAAAAAACTTCACATTATGACAAAATTTGTATAATTTTGTTGGTTTAGATTAATTTCTTCTGTGTAACGACGAAAAATATTTTAATTTCTAGCAATTATGAGCTAGAATATTTTTTAAAGACATGACATCGATGGTAACATTTGAAATATTGTTGTAATTATGCAACCCAACATACATACAAATTGCAATGCAAATTTCTATAACTTAAGCACGATTTTTCAGCTAATTTGTTGGGGTGCACGTTGCGTTACTACAAAATCATTTAAACATAACACAAGTGAATACAACTGAACGACGCGGAATTCATATTTAGACTTCAGGAAATATTTACCGGCATTTTTATTAAAATACTAGCTGTTGCCCGCGACTTCGTTCCGGCAGTGTTTAATAAAAATGTAATTCGTTTTTACTCTCTTGTTCTAGACATACTCGTAGTAAGAGTCAATTCTATCAATAAGATTAGCAATTTTAATTTAAAGAAATTAATTATATAAAGTTTTGTCAATAATGCACTTCAGCGCGCCATCTCGAATTCAACTATTTAACTATAACTATGATTGAATCTCAATGTCAAATTTTATTCTATAGAAAAGAGCTGTTTTGAGGATTTTCCCGGCAATTATTCGAATTTTTCTCACCTTTTAAACCTTCCCTAGACCTCCACGAATAATTCAAGACCAAGATAAGATAAATCCGTTCAGCCGTTCTCGAGTTTTAGCGAGACTAACGAACAGCAATTCATTTATATATATATATATATATATAGATTTAATTAATATATGTTATAAAACGTTATTAATTTAATTTCAGGTGGATTTCAACAGCCCCTCGAATCCAATTCTCAAAAGCAACTCATCGGGTGGCAAAATGGTGGCGCGTTTGATCGGCTTCCTGCGCCCATCGAGCGATTGGCACGAAATGCTCACCGTCTGCATATCGCACTGCAATGCCACGCTGCGCATTGCCGATCTGCAGATCGCGAACGTGACGGCCGCCCAGGCGCACTGCGAGACCAAGTCGTGGCCGACGATTCGAGAGTCCGACCGCGTCGCCGTCGACTTTGAGTCGCGCAAGAGCGTCAGCACGGGCGCTTACAACACGCACCAGCAGAGCAAGATGGAGTTGCATCATCACAAGCTCAAGGAGACGCAAAAGGTACGGCGGTAGTTTAACATAACTAGTTAACATAGTTAACGTGCGACGTTGCGACATTGATTGCGTCGTAAACAATCGCGCACATCGCTTTTGGGGGAATTTATTATGCACGAGTGCATGCCAGCAGAAAATTGAGAGTTGTTTGTCTCTAAACTACACACAATCTGATTGGGTTCGAGACTCGACGCGATAAATTAATTGCACGACGGCGTGACTTTGAACTGCGCTTGAAAAAAACAAACAAAAAATGGAAGAAAAAAGAAAGTTTTGTTGTAAATATCAATATTGTCAATATAATGGACAATAATATTGATGATAGAGAGGTTAATATAGGTTATGTCGATAAATTTATACAATTTATAAGTTAAAAATCATTTTTATTATCTTTATTTATTGGATAATCAGAAATTTTGAAAGAAAATCCGAATTAGGTTATGTTTCTTGACACAATTGACATATTAGACAGAAAATAATCTAGGTTATGTCAGTGTGGCTACTCCATGTGAATTTAAATGACTGATTTAAAAAAAAATTCGAAAATTTAATGAAAAAACATTTTTTAAATTAAAAAAATAAATATGTGTGTTTTTAGCGATAATAAATATCGCGTATTTTTTGTAATTTGTGTCATAAATGCAACCGCTGATAGTAAGTAATATTTAAGTCGCAATTAAAATTAATTTGAATACATTGTGTGTGTCTGCGCTGCGCGCTTGCTTTTTACGCTCCGCCGATTTTCATTCACACGCACGCAATTTGCGTGATGATTGCGCGCGCGCGGTGGCGGCCCCGCGAAATGCAATCAAAAGCGAATTATCGCGGTGGCCTTTTGCGCATACATACATTCAACATGTTGTCGTCCATCGCCGGCACAAAACGTGAAAATCGTTACGTAAACAATCCACGAGCACGAATTTAATAGCCAACTTGTTACATTTGCATCCAAACTACGAGTATAATGTATTTTTATGCTTTTTCTAGGTTTTCACATTCGAATATCTCGAACCGTACTCAAACGGCACGTGTACGCAATACACGAATTGCCTCCACTGCTTGACAGACTCCGAATGCGGCTGGTGTGATGCGAGCAACACGTGCGTTTCGCGTGCGTTGAACGAAAGTAGTTCTTGTCTCTCCACCGATGGCGAATGGCGTTACCTGACGCTGCAACCGAGCGCATGCTCCAACTGCTCCAATTACATATCATGCGAGAGTTGTGTGAATACAGGCCTCTGCGAATGGTGGATTGAAGAAGCGAGGTGCTCACGAAGAGGATTGTCGAATGATTCCGCCGTGGCGTTGGAACAATGTCCAATACCATGTTACAAACGAGATAATTGCAGTACATGCCTGGAACAACGAGGGCGATGTGTGTGGTGTGAAGCCACACAGCAATGTTTCAGCTTTTCGGTGTACACAAGCGAGTATCAATTTGGTTTGTGTCGCGAATGGCTGGATCAAGTCTTTCCGCTTGTCAGCACCACGCAAGAACACGGTTTGATTTCGAATGTGAAGCCGCAGGAACAATGCAAGAGTTGTTCACATCATCAGAATTGCTCGACGTGTTTGAATTCGTTGAGTTGTGGCTGGTGTTACAACTCATCGAATCCGATTTCGGGGCAATGCGTTAAGGGTGACTTTAATAATCCGCACGTGAATTGTACAGAAGTGTTGGGAGTATCGCATGCGCGATGGGCGTATGCGCAATGCCCGGATGTGGATGAATGTGGGCTGGGATTGCATGATTGTCATGCGCAGGCGATTTGCACCAATACGGATGGCTCGTATAGTTGTCACTGTAGGCGTGGGTTTATTGGAGATGGCAGGTTGAAATGCGAACGCACCTGTTATGATATCTGTGTGCATGGTGTGTGCGAGGGTGAGCCGCATTACAAGTGTAAATGTGATCTCGGCTGGACGGGGGATAACTGCTCGTTGAATTGTGGGTGTAATAATCATTCCAATTGTCCGCAAGGCGTGGGTATCTGCGAGGAGTGTCAGGAGTGGACTGAAGGAGAGTTTTGTGAGTTTTGTAAAGCGGGAAGTTATGGAAACGCCACTACTGATCAAGGTAATGTTTCTTAACCTAAAAAAATAATAAAATTAATTTTTTAAAAACAATTTTTAGGTTGTAAACAGTGTGAATGCAATGGACACGGTGATAAATCCGAAGGAGAGTGTGATATTGTCACCGGCGTGTGTTATTGCAAGGATAACACCGAAGGAGATCAATGCGAACGGTGTAAAACGAATTATTATGGTGATCCACGTAATGGCCGACAGTGTTACTACCAATGCGAGGCCAGAGGAATGCTCACTGGTTCACAAGGTCAAGGGATAAGTTCTAGGCAAGCGTATAGCGCCCCCTGGGGTGGTCCACCAACGCGTGAATGTCTCTGGATAATCAATCCGAAAATAGACGATGGTTTGCCTATTATTCAACTGCAAATCAACGCGTCTGATTTGAATATAACCTGCGGAGAGAATGCTGTTTATGTGTATGACGGGTTGCCGGAGTTGGTGGACATGGGCAGTCAGAGTGCGCTTTCGGCGGCATTTTGTAATGAGGACGCTGCGGCCAGCGCCATTATCGAATCGCGAACAGGTACGGTGTATAAATAAAACATGAAATGATAAAATAAAATTTACGATTTTTTAATTCTCTAGGTCAGTTAACTGTGCATTATAAACAAGGCCTGCCTGGAGAGGGTTTCAACGCCATGTATGCAGTGATCCAATGCGAGAATTGTCATTGGCCACGACATTGTAAGAACGGCATGTGTGTTCTGTGAAGATGGTCTAGTTGGGTCCGATTGTTCAGTGGAGGTGTGCCCGAAAAACTGCAGCGCGTCTTTGCATCAAGGACAATGCGACACAGCGTACGGTAGATGTCTCTGCAATACTACATTCGGCGGAAGCGCCTGCGACATCGGGTACGTGAATTTAACTGGTTTTATTTATAAAGCATACCAAAATACACACATACACATGATATTGATGGCGATTATGTTATAAATACTTGTTTTTTACGTGTTCCGGTAATGGTGTGCCGTGTTGCTCGAGGAATTCAAACAAACTGCGTATTTTGTACTTGTCGGCGGAGGTTATGAAGAGCGAAACGACTCTGAACCGTGGCAGCTCGGCCATGTTTGTTAGAATAGCGCGCACGCGTTCTACTTCGTGCGGTACGCTGAAATGTAGGTATAACGTGCGCAGAATGTCAGTCAACATGGTGCCATCCAGTTTATAACCTATAACTATAACATTATTATGTTAGTAATACATTGGGATGATAAATTTTGGGGTTAGGTTGAGATTTACCTTCATTAAGATGGTTTTCATCAATGTTTTGCAAAACTTTGGCGTGTTTAACGTAGGAATCATCCCGTTGAACAGCCAACCATGCTCGCAGGAAAGAAAATGGCGTCTCGATGCCACTAGTTAGGTTATTTTCCGTATTGTTATTGTTTAAATGCGGTTCACCACTGCCGCCATCTTCAACTTCCTGGATTTGATTGTTATTGTTCAAATCATCAATCATCTTTTCGGATTTATTATTATTATCTAATAAATCAACTTCTGCAGAATTCTCGCATATGTCTATATCAATAGCTGAATCAGTTTCTATTTCTGTATCATTTGGCAGTTCTGTAATCTCCACCGTGGATTTTTTTGTTTTTTCTTGTGCATAATACATAATCCTCTGGTTGATGTCATTCAAAGTCGTTGTATTCCGACAGTCATTATGATTCAAATTATGATTGTTTTCATAAGGTTCTTCAGACTCTTCATCGCTGTCATCCGGATGACACATATACATCATCTGCGGCTTGTTATACAACATATACTGCGCACGCTTGATTATTTCGGGGTTTTTATCCTCCAACACAACATAATATGGCTCACGCATATGGCTAGGACCCGGAATCGGTACCAATACAGGCGATTCATTTGATTTGTTTGTGTTTGCACGACATTGTGACTTTTTCAGGATAGATTTACGTTTTGGTTTACTTTGATTTGGCGCTGCACTGGAAATTTCCGTGATTTTCATTCGAGTTTTACCGCCAGACGCGTGCGCATGCTTTGATTTCACCGTGTTGAGAAGATTCTGCGCGTTCTCGTGGTTGGGATCCAAGTAAATGATCTTTTCTAAATGTTGAATTGCGTCTTGATACAGGCAGCATGCGTTTAAACTTTGTGCCAATCTCATGAGTGCTTTGACATTATTCGGATTGTGTGTCAAAACTGATTGACAGTCAGCCATTGCCAACTGGTATTCCTGTAGCATAATGTAAACTTGCGCGCGGTTATTGTATGCTTCTATTGATGGATGCATATTGATGCTATTGGTATAGCATTCAAGAGCTTCTTTATACTCGGCTGATTTGTAATATTCGTTTCCTTTGAGTCGTTCTTGATTGGATTGTATACTGGCTTCTGTTTCATTGTAACAGTTTTCAAATTTGACTTCTTTTTTTGTGAGTTTTTCTTGTTTCTCTTGCTGTTGATGCTTTTTCTGAAGTTGTTCGGTTTCCAAATCCATTTTGAGTATTTCTGTGTCAGGATCATACTTATCCCATGAAGCATAATCAGTTGCTTTTATTCTATTTGATTTATTTTCCACTGTAGTATTCTCTATGTTTCTTGTCTGTCTAACTTCCGGAATGCTTTGCGGAATGTTGACGGATTTTTTGAACTTACCAAGTTCGGTGTCATTCTGCGATGCGTTCTGGACGAAAATATCGATTTCGTTCTCCAGCTCCGTTTTACTTTTGATATCTAATTCGTGTTTGTCTACAACGGCAGTCACTTTTCGTATAAACTTGCTCGTCGGTTTGATGAGACTCAGACGCTCCTCGGTCGCAGTCATTAATTGCGGATAGTAACCTTCCTCCCCGCTTTGGAGGATGTGCAGGATGCGCTCCAATTCTTTCCCGTCCGTGCATTTCTCCACGTAGGCAAAGTCTAGATGCGCGATTGGTATGTCGTACTTTCTCAGTAGTGAGTCCCTCGACTCGACCCGGCTGGGTAGCGGGGTATCCTCCGTCTCCGAACCCGGTGGAAGCTGCATGCTGGTCGGGACGCGCCTCGAACGAAATCAGCGAACGAACCGAAATGCACTCAGTCAAATACTCTAACATATAAACTTGTTTATTGCGTTACCATAGCAACACCAATCACCATGGCAACATGCAAATATATTGATTTTTGATTTTGTTTCCAGCGTTGACGAACACCACCTTCTCTTTACCGAATTATTCAACACGCGAAACCTTGCCGATCATTTGGAACACCTTCGAAAAACCCTACCACGTTTTGGTCATTCCTTATCCTCGGATCGTAGAGGTTCCCTTTGGATGTTCGGCGGGTATTCATTATCTCATGGTCCCCTGAATGATATCCGTCTTTTTGATACCCGCAATAGTACCTGGATGCAAGTTACAGTTGATTCTACAGCAGATGCAAAAATGCCTTTCGGGAGATATTTCCATGGCGCAGATATTATGCATTCGAAACAATCGATTTTTGTTTTTGGGGGATTGACCAAACAAACGAAACAAAACACCAAACGCACCCTCAATGATTTCTGGCAGTTTGATATACAGAATCAGCGGTGGAATGAAATAGAACGAGTTGGACTATGGCCGCCTGTAGTTTCAGGGCATACTCTGACTTCTTACAGGAATCAAACTCTAGAAAGTTTGATTTTGATTGGTGGGGTTAGTCCAGAGTCGGGATTTTTGAGTGATGTATGGGAGTTTCGTTTAGATGGAGAGGTGTGGTCCAAGTGGCAAACAAGAGGTGCAGGCCCACTTGGTATCTTTGGTCATACAACTGTATTCTATGCAAAGAGCAATAGTCTGTATGTTTTTGGAGGTTATCGGTATGACCATCAAGAATCACATTTATCAGACGTATTGTATGTTTTAAACTACGATACGAAAACCTGGACTAACCTAAATGCATTCGCGACATCTATCTTGGTAAGTTTAACCTTAACCTCAAAACAAAAAGTTAGGTTATGTTAATGTGATTTATATTATTACAGCCTGGAAAACGTTTTCTACACTCAGCAGTAACAACAGACACACATATGTTGATCCTAGGTGGACGTCTCTCACCGTGGAACATCTCCGACACTTTATACGCGTATTCATATTCTTGTAATCAATGGATTAATTTAATCACAGATGGCGTTAAGTTTGTTGGTCCGCTACCAAGTCAAACTTACGCGCAAGCAATGACAATCGAACCTGAAGGCGATGATGCTTACGTCATTGGCGGATGGGGTAACGGTGCTCAATCTTCAGTCCTCCGCATAAAACTACCCTTTGATTTGTGTACCCTCTGGCCCAATAAAGACAGATGTCTGCGCATACCAGGCTGCGCACACTGCGCTGAGAAATACGAGGATCAAATCGTCGAGGAACATTGCTACAGCCACGGTAATAAGTGTCCACTGGTAGACAAGCTCAACCGCACTAAGAATGAGAACAAAGGTAGGATATGCGAAGCGCCAATCATGATTGATAATTGCGCAATGCTTACCGATTGCACAACGTGTACACAAGTCGCCGGCTGCACTTACTGTAACTACATGTGCAGTTCGAACAAAACCTGCACGGGTCCCATTGCGGAGAATCCAATTCAATGCGCGTATAATGCCTGCCTGGCCACGGATTGCATTCAGTGCCATCAGATACCCAACTGTGATTGGTCCTATACGAAATCCAAATGCGTCTCGGTGAATAATAATCTCGAACGGAATATTGTCACGAACTGTGCGCCATCTTGTAATTATTATAAGTCATGCAGTGAATGTTTAGAAGCGAGTGATTGTCATTGGTCGACACAGCTGGATGAATGTATCTCGAGCTCATATCAGAAGTTGTATTGTGCTGGGGGTGTATGCGGGTTAGTTCTACAACCTGACGATAGGGAGTATTGTCCGGAGCCGTGCTCATCACTGACGCAATGCTCAAGTTGTCTGCGTCACGCTCATTGCGGCTGGTGTGCCGCTCCAGGTAACAATGGCACTGGAATCTGCACGGAAGGATCAAATGAACGACCAATGCATGGTACTTGTGATGAAATACCAGCGCTGGATAAACTCAGCACCCCTTAGATCTATTAGACACCGAGGAGAACTCAACTTATTCATGGTATTATGTAAAATGTCCCCCGGAGAATGAGTGTTTGAATAATCATCACACTTGTAACCCGGTATCGGAAAGATGTGAGGATCTCGAAGAGGGTTATGAGTGTGTTTGTGGGCTGGGGTACAAAGCAGGTCCGAATGGTTGTGAACCAGTATGTCTCCAAGGCTGTGTGCGTGGACAATGCGTAGAACCCAATAAATGTAAGTGTGATTTCGGCTACGTCGGCGCCAACTGCAGCATTCAATGTCAGTGTAATGGACATGCGAATTGCGAAGGTCCCGATAAGTTGGATATGTGTTTAGAGTGTCATAATAATACGATGGGGGCGCAGTGCGAGAAGTGTAAGCCCCTGTTTGTGGGCGATCCGTCCGATGGTGGGCACTGCGTGCCTTGTCTGGAATATTGTTATGGTCACAGCCGCATTTGTTTAGACAATTCGACTGAGATTGATATTGCTGATTATGATGAGAATGATCTGATTGAGATGTTGGTGGAGGGGCCCAAGGATTCCGCGCGGTGTTTGTGGTGCGCGAACAAAACCACTGGGTCAAGGTGTCAGGAATGTATCGCGGGGAACTTTCGTGGAATGGAGGAGTACAAGTTACCATGTCGGCCATGTGACTGTCATGGCCACGGGGATACCTGTGATCCGATTACGGGCGAGAAGTGTAATTGTAAGAATAACACCGAGAGTGAGGTGTGCTCAGCGGGTGCGTCGGTGAAGAACAGCGCGCAACAGCAGCCATGTTGGATGTTGCAGTGTTCGAAGTGTAAGGAGGGTTATCTAGGTATACCGAAACAAGGGCATCAGTGTTATAAGCAAATGAATATGGATTTTAAAATGTGTTTTGATGCAAAACCAATTGGTAAGATATACATAACCTCAAATTAACTCTATTGAACTTAATATTTTGTTGATGTGTTGCAGATGAATGTAAAATTAAACCGAAACCACTCCACCCCGGGGAGATGGTTTTCTTTGTGATACAACCCCGTTATATGAACGTGGATATCCGTGTGATCATCGACGTGACCCAGGGGAAGCTCAATGTGTTTATGAGCACTCACGATAACACCTATGTGGTGTACCCGAATCAAACAACCGGTATGCAAGAGATCGACCTGGATCCACAGTATGCGCCGTGGGAGAATGGGACTTTCCGCACGGAGGATGTGCTGCTTGAGAAGGACGCGCTGGGTCTGCGGTCGTATATTACCGTCAAGCAGACCAAGACGATGCTGGCTGTGCGTGGCCTTAAGGATCGTTTAGTCATTACGTTACCAGAGGTAATGTCACACAATAACATCACTTTTATTCGTGTTAATTAATTCTTTAAAAATAAAATAATAGGAACATCACACATTGGAGACGACTAGGTTCTACCTGGTGCTTCAGAGTGTGGAGCCGGCAGACACGGACAAGAAGGTTGCCTATGGAATTGTGTTCTTCAAGCAGGACCAGCTCCATATTGACTTGTTCGTCTTCTTTTCGGTGTTCTTTTCTTGCTTCTTTTTATTCCTGGCTGCGTGTGTTGTCGCATGGAAGGCGAAACAAGCGGCGGATGTAAGACGTGCACGGCGACGCCATCACGTCGAGATGTTGCACATGGCGAAGCGGCCATTTGCAACCGTCACGCTGCACATGGCGCATCGCAGCAAACCTAGACATAATGCGCACTACGATCTCCGTCCGATCGCCATTGAACCCACAGGTAATTTATTCAAACATAACCTAAAAAAGAAATATTAATGATTTTATTTGTTTAGATGATGGTTTGGCAGCCGTCGCAACAGTCTTTGTCAGCCTGCCAGGAGGACAAAGCGCAAATGTGAAACTAGCGCTAGCGTCCTCACTCATCCTGCTAGCGCGGCAATTCCCCACCGGGCGTACATTCCTGCGGAGGCGCTCCACTCATGCCGCCCCACCGACCTAGGTCCTCATTGCTGTATCGTCTAACTCATAAGTCATCCTTTTGACACAACATGAATGAAAGAAAAACACACAAAAAACGAAAATACTCGACAAATTTTACTCGTTACTATTATCTCTCTACTCGATTATATTTAAACGATATGTACCTACATGTTTTATATGTTATAGATATATGTTTTATTTATAAAAAATAATTTTAATCATGGCGCGAGGGTCGCGAAGAGAACAGAGGTGGAATCTCAACAACTCATCAGCTCATTGACAAATTGACAAATAGATATTGATTTCCAAAGGTGCAGTTACAGATTAGGAAGATAATTAATTGTTTATTGTACATTCAGCAACAGTTTGACAACAAAAACTTGTGATTTTATTGTTATACGGGTGAACAAACTGACAAAACGGAACGGAAATGTAATTGATACGCAAATTATACAGAAATACTCGAAATCTATGTTGAAAACAAAATACCTAGGGTTTTTCTTGCGATAGTTTAGAATTCTAACCTGAAAATTCATTATTTTGCTTTATTTTGAATTTAAAACACCCTGTATTGTAGTCCGTGATGTTTTGTTGGTTTGAATTTAAAGGTTATGTTATACGCAGTCGGTTTGTAAACGTTGAGTGAGAAGATGCGTAAAATTGTTATAAACCACGATATAATTTAATTTAACAACTTGTGAATGTTAAAGCATTTAAAAAACTACTTGTTTAATGTTGTTACATCAAAATATTAACAATGAGTAAGCCAGCAAAACGAAGTAAAAGATACCAAACAAGTTCAGACTCAGACAGCGCAGAAGATGAACGAAAACGAGACTTAAAAGAACGTGACGAGTTCGCAGAACGTTTAAAACAACGCGATGCAGGAAAAACTCGTAATATTGTTCATGCCTCAGAACGTAAGGCTTACGAAGAGGCTGCGAAACGCCTCAAACTGGAGGCAGAAGACCGCGACAAAATGATACCGAAACTTCGTATAGAATCACGTCGAAGATATCTAGAAAAACGCAAAGATGACAAGCTGCAAGAGCTTGAAGAAGACATAAAAGACGATGAATTCCTCTTTGAAGACGACGTTCTCACGCAGAGAGAAAAGAAAGAACGCGAACATAAGAAACAACTGTTAAAATTAGCACAGGAACATGAACAAGCCAGAGAATTAGAACGCGTTCAACGATATCACATGCCACAGGACATGGGAAAAGGTTCCACGTCTGAATATATCGAAGTAGATGAAGTTGAAAAACTCCCACAGTCTGAGCAGAAAAATGGGAGAAAGAACAAATGGCAAGCGCGGTTTTTTCCTTCGGTGCGAAGCAGAAAAAGAAAGAAAACGATGACTATGAGTTACTACTAGCGGATCAAATCGAATTCATTCAAGCGTTGAAACTACCCGGAACAAAACAAGAAGAAAAACCTATTACCGAAGCAGAACGTAAAGCGTTAAGTATACAAGAAACAAAAAAAGTTTACCAGTGTATCCATTCCGCGATGATTTAATTCAAGCCGTCCGTGAACACCAGGTTTTAATCATAGAGGGCGAGACTGGTTCGGGTAAAACAACACAAATCCCGCAATACTTACATGAGGCAGGGTTTACCGAAGACGGTAAGAAAATCGGTTGTACGCAGCCGCGGCGCGTGGCGGCCATGTCGGTTGCGTCTCGAGTCGCACAAGAAATGTCTGTCAAACTAGGCAATGAAGTAGGTTATGCAATTCGATTCGAAGATTGCACATCAGAGCGGACTATAATTAAATACATGACGGACGGAACACTACACAGAGAATTCTTATCAGAACCTGATTTACAATCGTACAGTGTGATGATTATTGATGAAGCGCACGAAAGAACATTACACACTGATATATTATTCGGTTTAGTAAAAGATATTTCCAGATTTCGACCGGATTTAAAACTGTTGATATCGAGTGCCACGTTGGATGCGCAGAAGTTTTCGGATTTTTTCGATGATGCGCCGATTTTTCGCATACCAGGCCGGAGATTCCCCGTGGATATTTACTACACCAAAGCACCGGAGGCGGATTATATCGACGCATGCGTAGTATCCGTGTTGCAGATTCACGCGACGCAACCACTCGGCGATATTCTAGTCTTCCTCACTGGTCAGGAAGAAATAGAAACTTGTCAGGAACTTCTACAGGATCGTGTGCGTCGTTTGGGGTCCAAGGTTAAAGAATTGATCATTCTACCTGTTTATGCCAACCTTCCGAGTGATATGCAAGCGAAAATCTTTGATCCCACACCTCCGGGCGCACGAAAAGTTGTTTTAGCTACCAATATCGCTGAAACATCCCTCACGATAGATAATATCATATATGTTATTGATCCAGGCTTTGCGAAACAGAATCATTTTAATTCACGCACTGGTATGGAGAGTTTAATGGTGGTGCCTATCTCGAAAGCGTCAGCCAATCAGAGAGCAGGACGCGCGGGGCGAGTTGCGCCTGGGAAATGTTTCCGTTTGTACACTGCGTGGAGTTATAAACACGAATTGGAAGATAATACAGTTCCGGAGATTCAGAGGATTAATTTAGGCAATGCTGTTTTGATGTTGAAAGCATTAGGTATTACTGATTTGGTTCATTTTGATTTCTTGGATCCGCCACCGCATGAGACTTTAGTTTTGGCTTTGGAGCAGTTGTATGCGTTAGGCGCGTTGAATCATCACGGTGAATTGACTAAACTTGGAAGAAGAATGGCGGAGTTTCCGGTTGATCCGATGATGGCGAAAATGTTACTTGCAGCTGAAAAGTAAGGATTTTTAGGTTAGATTTTTATTAATTTGATGTTTTTAATGTGTTTATTGTAGATATAAATGTGCAGAGGAAGTTGTGACAATTTCCGCCATGTTGTCCGTGAATGGAGCGATTTTTTACCGTCCGAAGGATAAAATCATCCATGCTGACACCGCACGTAGGAATTTTAATCATATAAACGGTGATCATCTTTCGTTATTGAATGTTTACAATGAATGGCGTGATTCTGACTATTCTACACAATGGTGTTATGAAAATTTCATACAATATCGTTCTATGAAACGTGCGAGGGATGTTCGTGAACAACTCGTTGGACTTATGCAGCGTGTTGAGATTGAGATGGTTTCGAACGTTACTGAAACAGATAATATTCGGAAATCGATTACTTCTGGGTATTTTTATCACATTGCGAGGCTTTCTAAGTCTGGGAGTTATAAAACTGTCAAACATAATCAGGTAATGTTTAATTTTAAAGAAATAATGTAAAATATTTAATGTTTTGTTGTTTTTTGTTTATAGAGTGTTACAATTCATCCAAACAGCGCTTTATTTGAAGATTTACCTCGTTGGGTTTTGTATCATGAGTTGGTGTTTACAACTAAAGAGTTTATGCGATGTGTGATTGAAATCGAAAGCAAATGGCTGCTGGAAGTCGCACCGCATTATTACAAAGCGAAAGAGTTGGAGGATTCGACGAATAAAAAGATGCCTAAAGTGTTAGGCAGAGCTACGAGGACTGATTAATTAAATTTGTATATTTTCAGAATCTTACTCTGATTTTATCTGTTTCCCATTTGTTGAATTTGTGTATATCTGGTTGCCTAGGTTAGATATCTGCAGCGACGCCATCGATGATGCACGATGATAGCCGATCGTCGGCGCTTATCTTTTTCAAGTTTGGAACAAACAAACATTGTTCAAGTGCAAGTGGTGTGCGAGCTGTGTCCGTTGGCTGAATCTTGCAGAATAAACCAATTAAAAGGTAAGATTTATTCTTACAATCGTACATTACGTATTGTACATGTCCACGTATAGTTCCCAGAGTAGTTTGCGGATAGTTTACGATTGCGGTGCGTTGATTTTCCATCGAAAATCACAAAAATAAAAATGGCGTGTACAAATCATTGGTTTTATTATACACAAGAAACAATAATTTAACAAATCCAAGTGTTAGACGCGATTGATCGTGCATAGACAGCAACTGGGGAACCAGAAAATATCGGTGTAGAGATTACCGCCGCCCGGTTCGACCGCTACTAATCTTTTCTGCACGTATCGTTGTTCGCATCTCGACGCATAGCCATCGGGTATGCTGCACAAGTTCGAACATCGGCCGGTTCGGCTAGAAAAAGACAAAAACATCAGATAAAGAAATATTCAATATCCAAACAACATATTTACTGCCAATAAAATGCAATATGCAATTAAAAAGAGAAAGATGAAAGTGCACTCTGCAAATTTGTGTATGAAATTTCTCTCAAATTCAATCATTACTTTTAATTGCAAAATTTAACTAAGTAAATATAATTGTTGACTTGTTATTTGCAGAGTTAAACGTGCGAAAAACACACACAACAGCTTGTGTGGTAATCATTTTATTCTTCGCATTGTTTAATGTGAACTTTTCTGTTGAGTTTGCTTAATGTAACCTTGACTGTATCAAATCTAACCTCACAAAGTGGTAGTTTTAGGTTATGTGATACTTACACGCAGGTTTCACTCTTGACCAATTGGGAATATCTTCCATCCGCTTCCGGTACATTAACCACGTACATCCAATCACCCTTGTTGTTCATCGCCGCTCGGGGCATTATAAACTGCGAAAATGAATCGCAAAGTGGTTGTGCTGACGATGATTGTCGTCTTTTTCTTGATAGAAACTCGGGTTTATCACCCAAGAGTAACGTGGAATTGTATTCGTTGTTTAAATATTTTTTAAGCACCGAACGCTTTTTTCGCATGTAAAATTTTCGACCATTCCTGAAATTTTATTATTTTTTGTTTAAATTATTTTTTACTAAAATTTTAAAGTAAACTCACCATTTATTCCAAACATTTTGTTGGAATCTATTAAACTCCGGTTGGAAATGCATATTTTTATAATGATTCTGTTGAACATCGTGATATACATTACTATTATATGGAAATTTCGGTTGGGGGTAGTTAGAGGCCGGCGGATAAGGATAAGATTGATTTTGAAGGGGGTGGTGTATGGGCGGGGGTGGTATGTAGCTATTTGGGCTGCGATTTGCGTATGGATCATGCGTATTAGCTGGTGGGCCGTATACAGGCGCTGGATAGGGGTATATTGTGTTTGGGGGTGGGCCGTATGTATCACGCGGGGGTGCAGGGGTATACACACTATAATCAGAGGGTGTTTCGTTTTGTAGCAGTGTACCATGGTCGAATTTCCATTTTTCTATCAGGTGCATTACTAAATCTCTAAAAAAACAAGTTTTATAAATTTTTAAACACAATGTAAACATAAAAATCATAAATATTTTACTTTGGGTAATGTTCTGGATACTCGCAATACGTATATCCGTATTTGGCACATGGGGGACGCTCCCCCGGTGGGGACGGCACGTAGGGACATGGTTTTGCTCCATACGCGGACGAACAAGATGCTGGAGTGGCGATTTCGTATTTGTTGAATAGAATTATTAGCGTCTGAAAATATTTGAATATATTTTATGACTGTACATAAATTTTCAAGCGTTTTCAATTTGCATAACAATTGTAATTGAATGGACAATCAATTTAATAATTGGTATTCGTGAAGCGCTCGCTAACGCACACGTTGACAAAAACGTAAAACGGTTTAGAAAGCAATTCAATTCTGTCACTCAATCATTTATTCATTTCGTCTGACCACAAAATGTTTATCCAGTAAAATTCCGCATCGAAAGTAGTACACGATGAAAATTGAAAACGAATACAAATAATTACGGGTTTTCGTCGCGCTTGCAATTATTAATTATGAGCGAATAATTGCGGATGATGCAAAACAGAGAAATGGCACATATTGGACGCTTAAAAGGAGTGAATTGGATTTATTTACGAGCGAAGCGGTGTGGAATTTGAGCGTTTTGGGCCTACGCAATATTCTATGGCGTCATTGTTGCTATTAATATGCTTACAATGTTACAGTGATGCAAATAAGGAGATATTTCTGTGTGGTTTCTTAGAATTTCAGTCGAATATGGAAGTTTCGCGGCTTTTATTCGCCGTACAAATTACGAAAATGAAAAAAATCGTTTAAGATGTTGTAAAAACGATAATTTCACCTTAATTCCCGCGTAAACGAGCGATTTCTTGTCGTTTATTTTCATCAGTCATTGTCATCCACACCCGCATGTGGGTAGCAACGTCTTATGAATAAAAAACAAACTTTCTTTTGAGAAAATTAACTTTACTAAAGTTTTTTCTCTTTATTCTAAAAGTTAATAATTTGAAAATATAAAAATCAAGGAAGTATTATAATAGATAATAAATAAAATAAAGAAATCAATAAATTATTGATGCTTTCAACGCTGACATTAAAAACTTTCCGATGAAACTTGATCCGAATTTGTATTGCACTTTAATATCAAATTAATAATTAATTCAATTCCACGCATATTTTTTTCAGTTTTGTTTTTGATTGCTTCATTTGGTGAATGTCATATTTCCAAATAATGTTGATATTCGTGGAAAATAAGTAACACACAAATTTAAATTATTTAAATTAAGACGAATAAAAACCGCACAAAGGTTACTCTGCGGTCTGCGGTTGATATTTTTTCGCGACAGCGCTTTATATTCAAATTTTATTTTAGGTAATTCGTGCCTTACCTTGGTGAAATGCACTCTGGCAGTAAATTTTTTAATGTCTGCTACATTTGGCTCACACAATAAAGAAAAACCACAATCGGCAAGAGTGTAATGGATTGCAAAATACGCAAGACTCTCATAATTCACACACACAAACACACACACAGAATATTAATCTTTTTAATGCTTTTAACTAGTTTTTAGTCAAACATCAACCTTGTCATGCGCAAATTTACGACATAATTGCATTTATTCTTTTAGTTTTTTCGAAATCGGTCATAAATCTTATTTTTTTACATTTTAAACACTCGGTAGATGCTAAAATGCGTAAACAATTTATTCCACAGTAGCCGTCGTCAATTAACAGCTTAATTCGTGAAGAGCGTAATTTGCATACGGGCTTCGATTAAAGTTTATTTAACTTGTTGTTTTCTAACGAATTTGCATTCATTACACATTCATTATTGTAATGTGTTTACTTAAATTTTAAATTAGGCATAGCATAACATAGACAATTGAATAATAAAAAAAATATTAGGAAATTCCTTGAATAAATAAAAATAAGTTTTTTTTTTCTGTACGCACCTGTAAAATGTGAATTGATCGCATCATTTTAATAAATTTGCTTCACTTTGCTTCACACACAACAAACACACACAGATAAAAATACATGAATAAAATGTATTGTAATTGTTGGTATTGCGTCGCATGTAATGAGTTCGATGCCGATTCGAAACTGAAAGCGGCGTTACGCGCACATCTCGCATTTAAGCCGGTGTCAATTCGCCAATTGTTGCGCGTTTTGTGCGGAATTGTAACTTGTAATTATTGTCGGCATATCACATTGCTGATTTGGTGCGCACGCGGCATTTTCTTGATTCGTTTTAAATTGCAAACACAATGTTTTTTAAATTTTAGCTTTTTTTTTAAGGATGAGTCACAGTTGGTTATGTACTACACTTGACTTTCTGATAATGCGCGCGCGATTATCCGCGAGATGAATGAACCAGAATTAATTCGTGGGGATTTCCACGCTTGTTCGTGCGCGACGTTATTAACACCAATGCCGCACGGCGACTGTCTCGGCTAGACGCGAAGAAGTCAAATGTGTTGTTGTTGTGTGCGATGGAGTAGATGGCGAAGAGACGTGGTGGAGCTCGCGCACGAGGCGACGAAGAGTTTTTAGAAAGCGTCGAGCATCGGAATATGTATTATGATTCGCGTCGATATGACGGACTCTTCTTTTATTGTCGCGGGATGGACAATTTGCCATCGAACGCTGACCGCACGCGGAGGAATTAATCATTTTGAAGTCTGAAGTCTAAACTGGGCGTTATCACGTTAAATATTTAATATTAGTGATAATTTATATCATTTTATGGCTTTAAAATATTTTTATTTAATTTTTGATGAGTTTTTTCGCGGAAAATTTAAGTTTTTTGACGTAAAATTGAAAAAACTTTAAAATTTTAAGGAGAAATATATTTTTGACCTAAAATAGTATATTCTACATCCGATTGTCGATAAAATATAATAATAACTATATTTTTCTATACATATTAATATAAATGAAGACCTGACTCTCACGCATGAGGAAGTGGAAAGGTTAAGTGAAAAGAAAGTGATGAATTCATTAATTTCAGTCACAAATTATCATTCGACATCATCTAAAATTTTAAAACAGAAAAATTCTACACTTTTACATAAAAATTTTAAAATATTTTAGCGAAAATCAAAGTTTTTCTGCATAAAATTTCATTTTTTATGTTTTTATTTTATTTATTCCAACCATTAATCAATATTGTTGCAAATGTTAACGATGAACCCACGAACAAACAGTAAAAGTGCGTGTGGAATTTGTTTGACATATAAATCGGTTATGAATGGATTCTTTCTATGAATCAAATTCAATGAAATGAGAAAAAGAAAGTAATAAATCGTGCGGAGTTTATAAAAATTTTTCGAATTTTTGAATTTTACGACTTTAGAAATGCCTGTGAAGTATTCTTATATTCTTCGTGGGATAATTCGCAGTGTTTCAAACTACTGTGCAAAAAAACTGCAACTAAACATATAATCATCTTGTTAATTAAACATTAAAGTTATTAAAAGTTAACACACTATAATTTAAAATTGAATTTGAAGCAAAATACCAACTAGATGATATCATCCACAGCATCTGTTAAATATTTTAATAATATCTATAATAATGAATGAAACTTTCGATTTTTTCTTTTGTATTTTTGATGGTTTAAAATAGATTTCTTGGAAGTCTCGGTTTGCAATGCGTGATGATGATTATTCGTGCGTCCGCAATCAGTGCACAATTGTTCACATCGGATCAATGTATCCGCAGAGATCAGTCGCGGACGGGAAACGTGACCGCACGTCGTTCAAGATCCACCGATCGATCTCGAGACTCTTCCTCTTTACCATCAAATCGCGCTCGAGTCGACCGCGTAGGATCTGCAGCTCGGCGTGACTTTCTTCCACTGCTGACAGGCGTGCACGTAGTTCCGAAACGCTTTCGTTGAGTAATTTTACTTCATTGATAAGTCTAAAAATAGGAATATTTTATAGGACAGGAGTTTAAAATAAGTAAAAATAGTATATTAAGTATCAAGTGCGCTAAACGGCACTTTAACAACGTTTAGAGTCATGATGCTTACGCTATTTTTTCTATTTCCACTATATTTCCACGTTTAGGTTTTTGTTTGAACTTTTTATTTTAAAGCTTTGTTTCCTGTGACTAAAACCTGTGACTAAAATACTTTAGTCACGGTTTTGACCGTCCGTGATTAAATTACCACTTTTCGTGTATCCAAAGCGTGGGAAAAGTGCCGTTTTAAAAGTGGAAGAGAAAATTTAATTCTTTTTAATGATTAAGATTTTAAAAAAATATTTTAAAATAATTATTACCCATATTGAGAAATATCGCGACAATTCTCAACTTTAGGCCTAATCGACTTATTATCCAGCCTGGTTTGTGCAACTTTCATAGGATAATCAAGTCTTTGCATTGCCTCCTTTAACTTCGGAAACATCCCTTCAGCATCTGCAATCTTCCTCATAACCTTTTTAAGCTCCAGTTCCAATTGTCTTCTCATTTCTTCAGTAGTTGCAATGCGATTATTCAAAGCATTTTCCACTCTATCAGCTTGTGTTCGTAAATCACGCGCTGCATGCACCAATATAGCATCTAAAGTTCCCCTAAAAGCCGCGGATTTTTCTCGGATAGTTTCACCATTCTGATGGATATCTTTAACGAATTTATTCCACAATTCAACAGTAGATTGACTAAAAAATACATAATAATATTAAAAATATTAAAATATTTCTAAAAACAAGTTTTACTCATTAGGGAATTGTGTAATTCCTCGTTTCCATTGAATAGTAGTCGAATGATTTCTCAATTCAGCATTTGTTGATTCCAATTCAAACGCACGCACTTTTTCAGCCCAATCATACGTCATCTGCCTTTGTGCCGATGTGTTTTCAATCATTTGCATCTCTAAATCACGCAACGTTTGCTCTAATAAATCTTTTATCTGTGCAGTCAAAGACATTTCGACTGTAAGGGCTTCTTCAACTTCATCACGAACTAATTCTACATCTATACGACTTGTACGACGTTGTAAACTTTCTCTTGCTATGCAAAAACAAGAAAAAGATAAAAAGGTGACAAAAGCATAGAAAGTAATTGTAAAATTAGATACCTATTGACATTGGTATTAGTACCATTTGCCTTGAATTCTGTAACCTTACTCTTTCCCTCTTCAATAAGTCAATTTCATCATTCATTCGCTCAATACCATCCTCAAGTTGTGTCTGCCAATGATATATTTCTTTCTCCCTTTGCCATAATCTCTCCGTGTTCGATCTTTGTGCATCGTCAGTTTGCATGCGCACATTTTCAATGCACTCCAAACCATTCCACTCGGCATTTTCACATTTATTCTGTTTTGCGTGTGAGGTCAATAGTAAATCTTGATTGTGTTGTCTCCACTCTCCAGGACTGAATCTTGTGATTGAGAATGTGTCCACTACAGGGCGTATACCTCGATAGCCTTGTTCATGTGAATATTCTGTGCGTCCCTGCGCGGAATAATCCAAAACACCAAGGGGTTTTAATTCAGTAGGGTATTTTAAGAAATCTGTTGCTTGCGGGAGGTAGCCAGGTGGTTTATCGAGAGGGTTCTTGCGGTAGTTTTCTAATAGTTGCGAGGGTGTTGCGTGTATGGAGTGTTCTTTTGTGTACGGACGGTAGGAGGACGGGGCTAGTGAGGATGGGTTGATGTATCCGGCTGGTAGGCGTCCAGAGGTTGCCATTGTGGTGAGATTTAGTACTCGCTAGGGTGAATTTTAATGATAGACTGGGGTTTGAACTAGGAAAACTAGGGAGAAACAGGAAGTGAGGGAAAGTTATGTTTTTAAAAGTTTGTTGGGTCAATATTTGCTTGGATACTTGTTTGATCGATTATTTGATAATCAGATAGTGGAAAGAGTGCAATAGAGGGGGTTGAAGGGTTTCTTTTAGTGAAAGAAGTAAAAAAATAGATGGGGAGAATTTAGAATGCAGAAATTTGACCGCTTGATCCGCAAAAAGTGGTGGGGGTATGTGTGCGAGGCTTATCGCACGAGCAGGTAGGTAATAGTGCCTGACTTAGCTCGGCACCCCTATTATATACCCCCACTCCATTTTAGGGGTCGAGCGCGGGTATAAAAGGGCAACACGCAGTGCGCAAAGCGCTCAGTCGTTTTTTTCTTTTCTCATTATTTTCTCCTCCATAAAACCAAGCGTTGTTGACAAAAATACACAATAATTAGTGAAATTATTTATTTTTCAGTTAAAAATGAGAAATTCACATTTCTTTTTATAAATAAACACATACATAATTTTAAAAAGCAATATCAATAACACTTACACAACATAAACAAATAAACTATTGTACACAACGATTAAATCCATTAGCAGCGCGATTACAAATAATAATAAAATTATTATTACCGAATCTTAAACTCTACAATATAAAATTGTCATATACAAACAATTTTCGTTATCACAAATGATGATTATATATCATCGCCTTTTTTGCCTTTTTTCAGTTTAAAGCATATATTTACAGTTTCTATTAATAATAATATTAATAATTAATTATTAATATTGTTTTCTTCATGTTAAAAAGGCATTTTCGTTAGATTAATTAATGTAATGTATTTATATTCATGTCTTGACTGTTTCGACATATGTCGCCGGGAATATCCCGACAGCGCCATTACACTCGCCCAGCCACCAACCATCCTCTTGCTGTCGGTAGACAACCACTTTATCACCCGGCCGAATAGCTAGCTCATCGGGTAGGTTAGGTGTGTATAAATAAAGCGCTTTACATTCCGCGATCGGTTGAACATTCTCGACATTTTCGATGTGCTCGATTGTTTCTTCATTGTGACAGTTACCGCCGCAGATACTGCTTCCTTGAGATGAAAATTCATCTAAAATAATTTTATTTATTAATAACAAAAAAAAATAAACAAATTAAGAAAAAACAATACCAAAATCAGAATCGTGTTGATTTGAGTTACCATCAGCCATGCCCCTGTCAATCCAATTATTTTCCACGTCGTATTCTCCTTCTTTACCATGATGATTATGATTATGATGGTTTTTATCATTTTTTGTTTCGTCTCCTTCAGTCCACTGTTCTCTTAACCAAAGTGGTGCCTAAAATATAATTTTAATATTTTTCTTTCTTAAATTTTGTAAATTTACCATTACCTTAAGAATACTCTGTTGTAATCCTGCCTTATCACGTGTTATCGTGATATGTGAAGCCAAAGGATGTCCAGTTCTCGGTCGACAGTCTAACTCAGCCAAAGCTGACTGAACTTTATACTTAGCTCCTTCTAAATACGTCAACATTGATTTCATCTAAAAAAAATGTAAAAAATAGCTCATAATTATTATAGCTTGCAATTCATAGATGGCGTTGTTTTATATTTATTTAAAAATACTTACATGATATAATTTTTCAGCAACAGTTTGTTGTGAGTCCTCCGCACCGAAATTCGGCGTCTGTTTGATAGCTTTCGAGAGATTTTCTAATCCATGTCTTGCTTTTCGTTCTCTTTCAATGTCAAGTTTGATCAATTGTAGTAATTTAACCAGTGCTTGTTTCCTTCGCTCGCGATTCATCGCGAGAGTAATATGTTCACAATAAAAATCAGGGAGTAATTGTTCGGATGTTTGCTGTGATGACTGTCGGAGACTAACAAACGTAGAGAGGTCCTTTTGAGCTTCTGCAGTTTCAATCGGCAGGCGAATTTTCACAACGGCTTCTTCTAGTTTTGGCGAATGTTCGGTGTTATGTTTGAGGTAACAAGCAAGCGTTGCTTTCAAACTGTTTAGGCGATCCTCCTCGAGTGTTTGAAACGTTGAGGCACCTTTTAACACAGCTGATTCCCATTCTAACCTTGCTCGTTCCGATCGTACGCAGTGCGAGTAATATTCTATGTCTGCTTTTTTCACTGCATCTTCAGCTTTACGTTTTTTGCCTTCCAACTAAAATAAATAAATTTTTTATTGTATTTTAAGTATTAAGTGGACTAAACGTCATTTTAACCACTAAGAAAGTACTTTAGTCACGGTTTGGGGCGTTCGTGATTAAAATAACACTTTTTGTGTCATAAAACCGTGGAAAAAGCAGGAATAAACGCCACCCCGTGACTAAAGCCCGTGGCTAAAGTACTTTTTTCACGGCTTATATTTTAGTGTCTCAAAAACGAGAAAAAAGTGTTTAACAAAAATTTTATTTAAAAATTTCTTACTTTGGCGTTATCCTTATCACTATTAGTCTTATGAATATTCGGTAGTTGTATAAGACTCGTACTCCGCGCCATACGATTCTCCAACATGGCGTCCTGCAGTTTCTCATTATCTCTCGCGCATGCGTGGCTGTGTTTTTTACTTTTACCTTCCGCCACACGCCACTCGGACAACACCTTCGCTGCTTTGTCCACCATAGCTTCGGAGTTTTTACGCTGGCGATGCTGATTCTCAGAGAGTATTTTTAAAGGTTTCGCTGTTTCTTCTAAAAGTACATTGGACATGTGTCGATGTGCTTCTGCGCGTGTTTCCATTTCGATTGCCACAGCCTTCCAGGCTTCGTTTAATCCTCCAACTCCTTCACGACATGCTCGGGATAGTTTTATACTCAACTTTGATAAAGATTTTGAGTATTGTAATTCTGCTTCAGATCTAAAAATTAAACCGCACTATATTTACGTCTGTTTTGTGTTAAATTTAGATTTATTGCCACATGCGTAGAAAATACAACAAGATTTATCAAAACATTTAATTTTAGACGGTTATAATTAAATGTTTTTGTTTCTTTTGTGTGTTATTTGAGGTTAAAAATAGCATGTTTACCTTTCTTGCAAGATGGCCGCCAATTCTTTAGCGAAATCTCCGCCTTGTTTGACATAACGTCGCAAATCATCAAAACCATTTTGACCCTGTAAAAAAAATTAATAAATATTTATTATTTTGTTTCAGGTGAGTTACTTTTCTTCTGAATTAACTTATCAACTATATTATTTCCTACTTTCATCGCTTTGTCATTGGTGAGTCGATTTTTCTATTGTTTTTATATTTTTTATCATTTCCTCTGCAATTTTCTACAATTCTGTGAGTTTTTCCTTCATAAAATTGATCTTATTCTTTTATAATTAATCTAAAAACTAGGTTGATGCATTTGTTATATTCTTCACCGTATAATCTATATTTTATTACACTAGTAATTAAAAATATTGCATAATGTTGATTGTTCCTGTTTTATGCATGTATTTGTTGATTCGTACTTTTGATTGGCAGTTTTCTGCTATTATAACACATCCGCCGCGGGCATAAAACAGCAACAAAGTGGATTTTATGTTGATACAAAGTCGATAGCTAATTTCGCTTTAGTGCAACGCTTAAATTTGCTACTACAATCCAATTATTAACCACGTCATTACCGATAGTAACAATAGTGGTTTTGTACTTGTGATGTAATCGAACATTTAGCAAATCTCCGGTCATTGAAATGCTAGACATAGAAACATGGAAAAATAAACGTTATGAAACATTCTAATTACAAATTTCTTATATTCGTACTCGTACATGACGTCAAAGGGATTTTCTATCAAACATGCGTTTGAAACATGTGATATTTAACGTCAGAAATGTAAAAAAGTACTGCAATTGTAAGTAAATACGGAAAACATGTAATTTTCTAGCATGACATTCATTATAATAGAACGCACTGTTTTTAAAGTGCATCATGTGTATTGCATATGTTGCAGCACATCATAAAAGTAATGTAGACATTACAACTGCGTCCATGAGCGAACAGGGAACGAATTGCTTTCATATTTCCATTTGTGCGTTTCCAGTTTCATGCTGTTTTCCTGTTGATTATTTTTAGTTCAATTCACATGTTTACACTAAACAAGTGTGAAGATACAAACTGGGTGTAATTGCATTTGCTGCGCATGCGCAGCTTACTTACGAGTTGCTTGCTTATAAATGTAATTGTGTAATGAGTCTAATTCTCATAATGATTAGACAATTTATTATACAATTAATCATGGTGCTTGAGTTGAAATAATTTTATGATTTTTCTTAATATTCTCATCTAGTTAATGTGCATTTAACTAATGATGTTTTGTAACAAGTATTGCGCATTACACATTATACTTGAGTATTTATAAAAGTGAAACATTTAATGCATTTAACATTTAATTTTCCACTTGTTGTGTATTTACATTTGTGCCTTTTACTTAATTTTTTTATCCAATTAAGTAAACTGTGAGTAGTAAAAATTAGCAGTGTGCAAATCTCTAAAGTTTAACTCGATTAAAGCATGATTTATGTGCTTTTGAAATGTCTGAGCGTAATTTTCAGTTATTAGGTGCGATTTTCAATTTAATTAACTTTATCAACATAAAGATAAATTGCTAATGAATTTCGTACGAAATAAATAAATAATTACATTAAAAGGTGAACAGCGTGATTAACAAATGCACTCGTAATAATTATTCTCACCAATTACATTATATAAACTCATATTATATTTATTACACTAAATAAAATAAGATTTCTAATGTTTTTAGTTTTAATGGAATTTTAATGCACTTAATGTGCTTGCAAGAATAATAAAAAAATATTTCGGATTACTTCGCAATGTTTTTGGACAGTTTACGAGTTTTAGATTGAAATTTGAAAGTAACGCATAACAAGCGTTTGAGTTTCAAGCAGGTAATGAAATTGAAAATTTTGCATCATCACGGTATTAACAAAGTATGTAGTTTATTATTATTTATACGTTTATTATGAAAGTTATGAAATTTAATGCGGGATAAAACATAATTAAGCTAAATTATTGAGTTTTTACTAGAAAATTTATTAAATTTTAGAGTTTAAAAGGATTTAATTGCTTAAAATAGTTTAAATATTTAATTAACGAGATTCTTATTAAACTCGTTAACATTTTATTGCTAATTTGGATCTTTTGGCACTAAAAATAAATTTATTAACAATAAAATACGATTTTTATGTTCAATTGTCGACATTTTTAGATTTTTTACCAATGAATTTATATATTTTACAATTTGCCACTGACATGTTAAATATTTACGAAATTTACTATATTTTACCAAAACAACTAGTAAAATATGTGTTTGTTACGCAGATAATAGTAGTACTACTTTCATCATCTTCAAAAATAATCTCTGCACGCGGTAAACTCTAAAAATAACATTTTTTAGCTTACAATATCTTACAGTATCTTACACTTTACACATCATTATTTATTGATTTAGTGTTTGAACTATAAAGCAGCCTTGCGCCTTGTGATACCGATAGGAAATTAATTTTTAATTTGTTTGCGCAAACACGGCCGACACGAGCAAGACGTCATGTTTCTCATTCGGCACGCTCATACTCGTACAATTTAACGATGTGTACCTTCTTGTATATCGATGATTAATTACCACTTTTTTACGTTTACAACATTTTAAAATTTCGCATACACCTAAATAAAAATAACAAAAAAGAAATTTCGGTGTAAAATATTTCTGTTGAACTTCAAATCACTTTATATCAAGTTTTTATTTTGTTTTGCTTTGTATTATACGAGAGTAGTTATTTGAATGTCCGAATTAAAAGGAATCTTATGTTTCCTGACACTCCAGACAGCTCGAGACGTTGTAATTGATATTAATGCGCTGGCGCGCACGTTAATTTTATTAACGCTACAGATTTACGACTTTTATTCGAATTAGAACATTGGATATTTATCCGCAACATGCCAGTGTAAGCGTACGCTGCGATAGGAAGCGAATCTGTGGTTAAAATGTGAAATTTCAATGTAAAAATTTGCGCATTGGCGATTTATCGACGCGCGCTTGGCGCTCAACATGGGCTAGCGTAACGGGATCACGAGCTGGCGAGCTATTAGTGCCATTATTGGGATCATTAATATCGTCTTACACGTCTTACACGATCCGGTGTGCAAAATTATGGACATTTTGATCTTACTGGTTTACGGATTTACAGATTCACGGAATTTCTCTTTGATTCCAAAAAGGATCGGAATTTTTTAGTTTTAGAAATTTTTCTATAAAAAAAGTTAATTTTAACTCGTATAAAATGAGGTTACGCGAAATTTCGTCTACGAATAGACTGCTCGAATTTATTTCACATAATATTATGCTAATGTTGTCGGTGTGGAAACTTGGCAGGAATTTCTGCCCGTCCAAAAGTCACAACTATCGCCAAAACTATTTGCGCTTGCATCACAAGCTTCCAAACAACCTAACATAACATAAAACATGCAACTACTTCCGGGGATTTGTTTCGTTGGACAAAAAAATGCAAAAATTACATTAATTTGTTATCATTTTAAATATCAACGATAAAAAATAAAAATATATAAATTATTGCATGGAATATTCATTTAAATATTGTTATTTTGTTATTTTGAGGTACGAAAAAGGTAAAACAGCGCGTGCACTTGACGTAGTAGTATAAAGTGCTAAATAGTTAAATTAATTAGCAATATTAGAGGCTTACACAATGAAAAACAGGTTTTATAATCATTTTTTATTATTTTTATGATTTTTATGATTTTTAAATTATTTTACCTCAAGTTGTAGTCTACTTTTACGAAAATTATTCCTCACTTGCATTACTTCTTCAGCAATAGCACCACTGATACGTTTCCGAGTCCAAGTCTCACTTACTTTAGAATTTTCACTCCTCACATCTTTAATATCACTGATTTTATCAGTTTTTTCACTTTCACTCTCATTAGAATCCTTTAAATCAACATTTTCTGTCTGTATTTCTTCATTATTATCATCTTTAACATCTTCACTATCTTTTTTATCATTTTTATCATTTTCTCTCTTTGGTAAAACATATTCAATGTCATTGGCAGTGATTTTCGCAAAAAATGCATCATTCTTAACAATTTGACTTGAATTATCACTCGTAGTAGCTTTACATTCAACCGCACCTTCCTGCCGCTTAAACATCTTCCCAGTTTTATTAATAATCTTCTTACACTTATCCTTGGACGATTTATACATCCCTTCTAGATTGATAGCGTATTTATCATGATTTTGAAACGCACCGACGCGTTGCACGGCTGCTTGATCCTCCATCGTGCGATTGAATCGCTCAAACTTGGACTTGAAACTTTCCCACCTTGCTTTCCGCGCACTTTTCTTACAACTACTACCACCTGTTGTCGATGCCTGCGTGGTATCGTCGGACATATTCGGTAGGACTTGACTGCATGAGATGTGCTCGATGCTTTCGACGCTCAGTGACAACTGCGGCAGGTCCAGCTCGTCCATGTTGAAGTCATGCAGTGATTTCGACAATCGGTTCGAGGTCGACGCGATTTGATAATGATCAATGCGTCGGGGGACTTTGTAGAATGCGTCCGACCCATCCGAATCATCATCATGATGTTCATGATCATGATCGTCAGTTAAGCTCAGTTTTAGATTCGGGTCCGAGCCGAATTTAATGACAGGATTTCCCGTCACCTGAGACTCGTTCAGATCAATCACGTTTGTTACGTAAATCTGTAATTGGCTGCGATGTTTCTGCTTACTCTTTGATAATTTATTAATTTTTGAATATTCAGTTACTTCGATATTATTTTCGTAATCATGTTGTGTTTCCTCATCGTTTATTTCAGTTAATTTCTGATTTTGTTGTTGTTTTTGTTCAATAAAACAAAAATGTATTCTCGGAACGTCGTATTCGTATCGATTGTTTGCTTCGCTGAGATTTCTGCTTTCGACAATGCGCACACTCGGATTGTGCACGTCTACAACATCGTAGAGTTCGGTATTTTCACCCTCTTCCTGGCAAGCGTCCTGATAGGATCCCGTGCTGCTCGAATCGGATTGTTGTGGGAGTGAATGTTGACTCTGCGTGGTCACACGACCATGCAAATCATATTCTCTTTGCGCAGCGGGAATATCGTAACTTCCGGATGACACGCGTTTCTTTTCCACTGCGTCCATGTCGCAACTGGATGTTGATTTGCGAAAAATCGTCGTGTTTAAATTCGGAACTGTCACACGCCATTGATTATTCGAAATTTTATTGCAGAATTTTTTCATATTTACTTGTTACTTGTGAGCGTGCATCGAAAATGACTAAATATTAAATTAATTTGCGTCCAAAGTGCACGAAGGTTACTTTTTATGCGCGCACGTCGATTTTATTATTATTATTGGCTCGCGTTCGTCGCGTTCCATTTTCAAGGTGACAACATAAATTCGAAAACAATCATCCGTAATAAACCGGTAAAAGTGCACACAAGTTGTACGAGTTTTAAAATATTGAGGCACTGTTTAAACACTCAATTATATTTAACACCCGCGTATCCCGAGAGTTGTGGATGTACTGCGCCTTCTCGCGTTCCCGTTTGCTGTGAGACGCAGCAGGAGAGCACACACGGAATACGCGTATCCTAAACGCTAAAATTAAGATGCCCTGTGCGCGCTATAATTACGCACATTGCGTACGCGGCGATAGTTAGCCACACACTGCGCTCACATCGCGATATCAAACAACATCAAAACTTCATTTTCTTTGTTTTGAGGCTTGAAAAAAAATTTGTTGGAAGAAACACTAGTTTAATAATCATCCGGGAGATACACGAACGTTAGGCCAACTGTAAACAACCTAAGTAAACAACAGAATGTGTTGTAGGTAGGACTTATTCAATTGTTTAAGTTGGAGCACACCGTCAGAGGTATGGAATGGTATGGAATTGTTTTTATCACAAACGACGTATGAGTGCCTGCGACGGGCGTGAATAGTTTTTAATTGTTTTCGTCGTTTTGGCTTCTCCTGTATGTGTTATTGAGTTCAAGTTGGATTTACTCATAATGTTCATCTTGAAAGTTTTAAATTTTTTAGTGTAAAATGGTGTAGTTTAGTTTTTTAAAGGTTTTTGTATGATATTTGAGTATAACTATGATATAATGCGAACGAGTCACACGGAAATTAATTTTAACGTTGCAAGGTTGCACGGGATGTATTAAAATCAATTTTAATAATGCATCAACACGCAAATGTTGTTGGAATAGTGGAGATACGTGTTTTGTATGCATAACTATTGTTTATTTTATCAAACATCCTTTATATTGGTAATATTTGTGCTTGATGCGATAGTAGGCAACCAAATTTACTCTTTGAGTTAGTAATCACTTAAATTGTTATTAGAAAATCAGTATAATTTTTATTATTGATATTATTAGATAGATTTTCTATTAAAAAAAAAAGAATAATTTTTTATCATGTCTTGTTAAGCCGTGACTAAAGTAGTTTTCGATCATTTTCATGCCTTGACATCAATTATTGACGTCAATTATTTATAAAAATAATGTAAATCTGAATTGAATTGATTAAAAAAAGCCATTACAATTTTCATCTAGTAAAAGCTATAAAAATAACATTTCAATACTGTTTTCGTTTCGCACGATATATTTTTTCATGCATCGCTAAAATTAAATCAAATATACTTAAATTTTTATTATCCAAAGTAACATATAAATATTCAAGTACTTCAGTGTGAACCAGTGAATTCACCAGTGGTCAACACTTCAATTACAGATATGTCACGATTAATATTGACTACTTTCTTCATTGCGATTGTACTCGGTGTCACTTATGGAAGAGTGGTGTATGATACTAAATATAATGAAGGCTCCCATGAGCAGTACAACGATATTAAAGCATTGGGCTTAAGACCAGATGAATACTTTAGAAGAGCTATGCCTGTTATGATCGAAAAACACCTAGAGGGTTATGAATACGAGTACGAGAAATGTCATCCGAAGCCGGTAACATGTGCAGATGGTGAATAAAATTTGAATTATTGATTAATAAGATTAATGTAAATTAAAGTATTTTCAAAGTTTTGTAAATTATTTTCTGTGTGTTTTAACTTTCTTTTTGAAACGTTTACTAAATGTTCCCAGGCTCATCAAATTCGGACCGAAAGTATTTTAATAAAAATATCTAGGCGAACGTAGACGGTAGAGAAATGTGTTTATATTGTAGGATTATGGGTCAAAAGACGTAGTAATAAAAAAAACGTTGATGCCACTTACTTATGGTGCTAATTATTTGCTACAACGTAATATTACTCGAATTTACTTAATTTTACTCTGAAAAAAATTCAAGTTAAAGTTTAAATTTTTGTTTGTGTGTTCTATGCAACTTGCTTTTAATTATTTCTTCAATTGCAGACTTGTCTAAGACTCGTATTTCACTTCTCATCGTTCTTTTTAAATACAATTTTTTTTCTACTGTTCTCACAGTCGTTACAGTTTAATTCAGCGCAGAATGCGCTCTGATGACGTCCTGAAACTCGCTTAAAACATGTTTGCAACATGTGCGTGCATTAGGTACACATAAGTACAATTGATTGGGAAGCGAATGTTAAATGTTAAATGTTGAAACGTAATAGAAATAGGGAGCAGGTGGTTTATGCAGTAGTGAAGAGTATATGTACTTTCATTCAATTTGCATTATGTGAAAATTCTATTGGTGAATATCGATGGTGAGCGGGCAGTTTTATACGTATGCCTTCTGTTGTTGGAAGATATCGGCGTGTTAAAGAAAATTATTTCTTGCAATGTACAACAGTTATGCACAATCACTTTCAATTAATAGACAGACTTGTTAGGCGTGAATTATTTTTAGATTTTTATTTGGAATGTGAAAGAATTGGTAAAAATCTGAAGGAAAATATTTTAATTTAATAGATATAATAAAATTAATTATATTTTGCATTAAATTTTCACGTTTTGTTAGATATTTGTATTTGAACTTTTGTATTTATAAAACTTCGTTCTCTATGACTAAAACTTGTGACTAAAGTACTTTAGTCACGGCCCGTGATAAAAGTACCATTTTTAGTGCTCCTAAACCGTGAAAAAAAGGAATTTTAAAAAGATATGTTTGAAAATGCATATTTTTCTACTTATTACTACTAATTTCAGACTTATAACGTGTTTTATTTCAACACAAGTAAAATTTCAACATTTTAAACAGATTTTTCCAATCACTAAAAATTATTATTTATTTAATGAAACTTGTGTTATACAATACAAAATCTAAGTTTTTCAAATCTTGTCTGATTCACACGATATTTACAACTTAAGTAATACTTAAACAAATCCAAAGTGTGTTTATGGTTAGTTATGTATATGAGCAGGTCTACTTTTGCGGACGACAACGTGTGTACGAGATGTAAATACAAGTAGCAGTACATCACGACATCGCCCGACATTCGCACGTCGAGTGCATAATTTCTCGTTCTCGCTGTGCATAATTAGCGAGCCGTAAGTTAACTGTGATGAGTGCCACCGTGCCACACTTGACATCAATTCATTTAGCGACTACGAAATTACTAAAAACTTTATAATTCCTACCGCTAATTTGACTCGCATCATTTTACACGTTATACTCAGAACATAACCTATTTCGATGGCTATATATCTACATATTTAGTTTCATTTATTCCACGAGTACCTAATTCACATTAATTTAATTAAAATTTCCCCATTGTTCTCTTCTTATGTTGTATTATGCTATATATTTCATTAACCACAAACACCGAACAGGTTCTGCTCACTTTGACAGTTATACATTTAGTTAGTTAGTGTAGGTCGCAATATAATTTAGAATAGCATAATTTTTATATCAACATGATTTATACACAATTAAAGTCCAACATGCATTATGTTGTTCTTCCGGCTAACAATCTCCGAGCAGCGAGTTGTAAAACAATGGATGGTCGCTATCGCGCACTTCATTCATTTGGAAATGGGTCGCACCTTCCAATACGCTCGCCGTAAGATATCATATCATTTGTTTATGACTGAATGTAGCCATATTTAAACTGGAACGACACATGCAAAGATATAAAGTGTACAAAGTAAGCTTAAAAGTTTAATTGTTGCATGTTGCATACATGCATGTATTCACAAGCAGTAAAAAGAATGAGTGTCGTGTTTTGAAAGCAGAGAAAGCACTAGGAGATGTTTTACTTTTGCGGGGAACATAACCTATCATAGAGTCATTAGGGTAAATATAGGCAACACACAAAACTTTTTCAATGTGTAAATTGTTTAAGTATAGTGATTTTATTAATTATTGAATGTTTTATGTTCTTTTTTTATCAGTTTTTGAAGTTTTTTTTTGGGAAATTTACTTGAAAAATTGTAAAAAATTACTCTTTCACGATTAGTTTAAGAATTATTATGTTTTTTACTTTAATATCGCAATTATTCCGATATTTTACATATAAATAAACATAACCTAGCGTCGAAGAGTAAATATAGGCAACACACCATACATTTTAAACCACTTACAACAAATAACAATTAATTTTATATCAAATATTTGCTTCTATAAGAAGTGATATAATAAACTTTCATTTTTATTAATACCACATTAACAGATTAATTATAACTAAAGTATTAATGACAGATTACTTAATTATCACTTTCAGACAGTGGTTTCCTGCCTTGATGGCGTAATAATTCCGTTAACTGACACAATTTTTACGTTGTTGTCGCCGCGGATTGATCTACATTCGTTTTCGCTCATTGACATTCACTTAATGTTTGCTTAGTTGTTCCGTATAGTGTCGTATTGTTTTACTGCTGCGGCGCGCATGTAATAACACAAGTATTTACAAGTATTTATTTATTTATCTACTAGTAAAGTATTCTCGGCGTTGACGACATTACCGTTGTTACCGTTTGCTGATTAACTGTTACATCACGATGGTCGCCTATGATGGTTGTCGTTGTTTGCGATTTATTTGCAATTTATTTAAAGCACGTAATATTCATATTTTAAAATATTTACCGTAACTGTTTTGTTGTTAAAAGTATGGGAAATGAGGAATTTAAATGAGGAAAAGAAGAAAAAATAAAAAATATAAAATATGTTGTTTTGTAATAGTTAAACAATAAAATATGAAAAGATAAAAATATTCTAATATTTCTCAGTAGTATTGAGATTTATTTTATGTACTTGTATCTAAAGTGGTAGTTTTTGTCGATATAAAATCGATATAGTTGATTATTTGTAATCTAGATGGCGTTTCATGACCTATTTTAAGAATTAATGCAACTTCGATAAGAATTGAATGAAATTCTGATTGCGGGTATCTTGAGATAAACAAAAAACGAATAATAAAATTGTTAATTTTGAATTGAATTGAATTGCAATAACCGTAAACAACTGTACTTTCAGTATAACTATCGTGGAGCTACAATACATGCTTTCTTTAGGTTTTACTGTCGGTATTTTTCTTCTAAAAATTATTTTTTCTAAAAACACTAAACTAAAAATTCAATATTTTAATAGTTCAGAGTAGTTATTTTCTATTTTTTGTTATATTTCTTAAAATAAGTAACTTAAACTATGACTTAAGTCACATAAACACGATAAATATTAAATTTTGTACTTTTTACATCTTTTTCATCTTGATCTTGACTTATTTTGCACAAAATAAAAAAATTGATCAAGTGAAACCGCCAATGTAGCTTAAGTACCATTTCCGTAAGTCAATATGCATTAGTTCCGATTGATTCTGCGATCTTGTGATACTGATCATCCGCAAGACGACACACTTCCATCTTG